GTTTCTTTTTTTCACCTTTTCTTTTATTTTCTGTCCATCTCTCTTGACCTTCCCTCCTCCTTCTTTCTTTTTCGTCATCCCCTTCTTAACTTTCCTCGTTATTGCCCATGCTCTTTCCACTCTTTTTTCCTCTCTCCTATTGCGCACTATTGACCCATACCTGTTTCTTTTTTTTCCCTTTGCTCTTTATCTTCTGTCCTCTCTCTTCCCTCATCTCCAACCCTCTCTCCTTCTCCCTCTCCCTTTTCTTTGCTCGTTCTGTCCAAGTTCTTTCCACTTTCCTTTCCCTTCAATTCCCCTTTATGTGATCTCCTAGTTTTCTTTTTTCTTTTTTTTTTTCTTTATTCTATTATCGGTGTCTGATCTCTCTTTGCCCCTCTTTCCTCCTTCTTTTTCCATCTTCTCCTCTTATTTCTTATCTCGTTTCTGTCATGCTCTTTCCACTTTTTTTTTCCTCCTTCATTCCCCTTTCATCACGACCTGTTCTTGTCTTTCTTTTTCTGTTTATCTTCTCTCCTCTCTTTGCCCTCTTTTCTCCTCTTTTTTCCGCATCTCTCCTCTTATCTTATCTCGTCTGTCCATGCTCTTTCAACTTTTTTTCTTCCCTCATCCCCTTTCATCCCGACCTGTTCTTTCTTTTTCCTTTTTCTTTTATCTTTCTTCCCTCTCTTTGAGCTCTTTCCGTCCTTTTTTTCCCTCTCTCCTCTTATCTCGTTTTGTCCATGCTCTTTCCACTTTCTTTCCTCTCTCATTCCCCTTTGACCCCTACCTGTTTCTTTTTTTTCCTTTTTCTTTTATCTTTCTGTCCTCTCTCTGCCCTCTCTCCACCCTCTTTCTTCCCCTCTCTCCTTTTTCTTTCCTCGTTCTGTCCAAGTTCTTTCCACTTTCTTTCCTCTCTCATTCCCCTTTGATCCCTACCTGTTTCTTTTTTTCTTTTTTCTTTTATCTTTCTCTCCTCTCTCTGCCCTCTCTCCACCCTCTTTCTTCCCCTCTCTCCTTTTCCTTTCTTCGTTCTGTCCATGCTCTTTCCACTTTCTTTCCTCTTTCATACTCCTTTGATCCCTACCTGTTTCTTTTTTTCCTTTTTTTTTATCTTTCTCTCCTCTCTTTGCCCTCTCTCCTCCTTCTTTTTTCCCCTCTCTCCTCTCTCATTCCTCGCTCATTTCTACCTTTTTCTCTTTTTCGTTTTTCTTTCTGTTCTCTTTCTTTGATCTTTCCTTTCTCTTTTTTTCCTTCTCTTTTCATTTTTCTTTTATCTCTCGATCCTCTTTCTGTTCTCTCTTGTTCTTCTTTTTTTCCTCACTCTCCTCTTTCTTTCCTCTCTTATTCCTCTTTCCTTTCTTCTGTTATCCTTATCATTTCTTTTTTTTTCTCCTTGTCCCCTTTCTTTCCTATTTCTTTTCTAAATCCTTCATTTCTTTTTCTTTTTCTTTCTTTTTTCTGTTATCATTCTTGCATCTTTCTTGCCTGTTTTTCAATCTTTTTTGTCTTTTTTCTCCTTTTTTCTGTAATCATTTCTTCCCTCCTCTATCGTCTACTTTCCTTTTTTTGTCATCTTTCTGTCCTTTTTTTTTCTTTTTCTTACCTCTTTCTTTCCTACTCTCTTCCTATTTATATACTTTTTCTTCATTATTTCTTCCTTCTTTCCTTCCTCTGTCCTTGTTCTTTCTTTCTCCTATTTCATCTTTTTTCGGTCCACGTTCTTCGAAGTTTCTTTCTTTTAATGGTTCGAAGAAGTCATACTAGGAAGGAATACAGAATTACCCAATAATCAACGTTCAGCATCGGCACTTTAGCTCAGACTATTTATTTTGATTTACGTAAACACCAATTGATCCAATACAGCCTCCCCCCTATCAGACTAGCAACTGAGAATTGGGCAGCCGTGATCTAAACTGCCATGAGTGCGCAAAGTAAGATTGGCTCTTGCTGCATTCTGCTGCCCTGTTTTTAAGCAGGATGGATTTGTGACAACGGACTGTGAATGTGACTTTCTTTCCCCTTTTTCCTCTCTCTTTCCTCTATCTTTCCCACTTTCTAACTCTTTCCTTCCTACTTTAGTCCTCTCTCTTTCCGTTTCTCCCTTATCTTTCTGTCCTCTATCCTTTCTCTCTCATTCTCCTTTTCTTCCATTTTCCATCCTACGTTTTTCCTATTTCTTTCTTTTTTCTCTTGTTTCTATTCTTTTCCTCTCTTTATTCCTTTCTAGTTTCTTCCTCCTTTTTTCTTTCATTTTCCCTCTTTCTTTCCTTTTCCTTTTTTTTTTATTTTCGGTCCTCTTTTTTATCTTGCCTTTTACTTTCTTTCCCCCTCTTTCCTCTCTCTTTACTCTATCTTTCCCACTTTCTAACTCTTTTTTTCCTACTTTAGTCCTATTTTTTTCCTTTTTCTCTTATTTTTCTGTCCTCTTTCTGATCGTTTTCTTTTATCTTTCGGTCCTCTTTCTTTCCTCTCTCCTTCTTTTTTCTTCCCCCTCTTTCTCTTTTCTCTCCTTTTTCTCTCCTTCTTTTTTCCCCCTCGTTTCGCTTTCTGTCGTGTTTCTGTCTTTGTTTCTTCCAATTCCTTTCCTCTCTTATTCTTCTTTTCTCATTTCACTTATTTTCCTTTTGATTCCTTTTTCTTTTTCTCCCTTTTTTCTCTTCTTGCCTACTTTTTTCCTCGTTCTTTTTTTCTTTCACCCTCTTCCTTTTTTTTTCTTTCCTTTTTTTTCTTTCTTTCTTTTTCTTTCCACTTTCTGTTGTCATTATTCACTCTTTCATTTCACGTTCCTTTCAATTTCTTTGATCTTTTTTTTTCCTACTTTTTTCCTTTTTCTTTCCCCCTTCTTTCCTTTTTCTGTCTTATTTCTTTCTGTTTTCGTTTTTCTCACTGTCCTTTTTTCTTTCTAGTTTTTTCCTGTTTCTTTCTTTTTTTCTTTATTATGTCTCTTTTCTTTCCTCTTTCTTTCTTCTTTCTTTCCCCCTTTTTTGTCTTTCTTTCCTTCTTCTGTGCTCCTTATTTCCATTTTATTTTCTCATTCGTTCCTCTCACCTTCCTCTTCCCTTCCTACCCGTTTTCCTGTTTTTCTTTAATTTTCTTTTTGCTCTCTTTTTCTTCTTTCTCTCCTTTCTCTTTCTTCCCCCTCTTTCCCTTTTTCTTTCTTCCTGCCTGTTTCTGTTATCGTTCTTTCCTTTTTCTTTCCACTTTTCCCCACTTTTCCCCTGTCTCTTATTTCTTTCTTTCACCCTCTTTTCTTTTTTCTCTTCTTGTTCCTTTTTCTTTCCTCTTTTTGTTATCGCTCTTTTCTCTCTCTTTTCACTTTCTTTCCTTTTTTTGCTCTTTCTTTCTTTTTCCCTTTCTACTTTTTTTCTTTTTCTTTGAATTTTCCTTCCCTTTTCTTCCCTTCTTCCCACATTCTTTATTTTTCCTATTTTCTCTCCGTCCTCTTTTCTTCCTCTCTCCTTTTTCTTTCTTCTCTCCTCCTATCTCTTTTTTTCTTCAATTCCCTCTCTCCCTCCTGTTTTTTCCTTCCTTCTCTTTACTTTCCCCCGCTTTCTTTTTTCTTTCCTCTTTTTTTCTCATTTCTTTTCTTCTTCTCTCCTACTTTCTTCAATTTTCTTTCCTTTTCGTTTCCACTATCTTTACTCTTTTTTGATTTTGTTTTCCTCTCTCATTCCTCATTCTTTTTTTTTCTTCGTCTTTCTTTTCTTTTCTTCTCCCCTCTTTCCTTTTTCTTTGATCTTTCTTTCCTTTTTCCTTTCTACTTTTTTCCTTTCTTCTTTCTTTCCTCCTCTTCCTTTTTTCTTTCGTCGTTTTTTCAGCCTTCTTTCCACACTCATTCCTTCCTTTTTCCTACCTCTTTCTTTTCTTTTCCTTTTTCAGTCCTTTTTCCTATCTCATTCTTCTTTCTTTCCTTTTTCTTTCCCACTTCTTTTCTTCTTCTTTTCTACTTTATTCCTCATTTGTGTTCCTTTTCTCTTGTTATCGCTTCCCAGGTACCGATTACTTGTAGTTTTTGACTTGTAGTCATTTCAGCTGTGATTTCTTTTGCAGCGGTACAGACACTTTGTTCTCCCAAATATTTTTTGTTTTCATTACCGTATTTTATTTTTCATTTCACCTTCCTCTTTCTGTCTACCACAGTGCTCTTCAATTCCCTGTCTCTACCGTTTAATTCCTCAACGTTAATATCTGCTGCTCTATTTGTTTCTTTTGTCATGTTTAATTTTATTTTTCCTTTGGGTTTAGGAACATCATTACCGTCATTTTTCATTTGCTCTTTTCTGATTTTTTCCCTCACCTCTGTTTTGATTTATTTTGTTTTCCTTATTTTCTTTTTTTGTATCTCTCAATGACACAACTTTTTTTAAATTTTCAGTTTCTTTTATCACATGTTGTCTAAAACTTTTTAGCCTTTTTACCCGTTTATTGATTATTTTCACTACTTTTTTAAGGTTTCCTCTCTAATAAAGTAGATTCCTCGCCGTTGTTCCTTTTTAAAATTTCCTTTGATATCTTCCAACTCTGGGTCCAATTTAAATGACTTAGTTCAAGCACTATTCGTCTTTTGTTTTGTGGTATCATCTGTTTTCTTAATAGCTTAAGTACTCTTGTATTTCACAGGCTTGCTTATTGTTACTTATTCCTAATTCAAGATTGATTTTTAGTTACATGCAAATTATCGAATAGCTCAAAGTTTACCTGCCTTGAATTTTACAACCTTAGTAAGAGCCTTCAGAAAATGATTATTTGCATGTGAAGACGTAAAAGTTTTTATGCTAAGTGCTCCGTATTCAAGAGGTAACAACGACTTTATGATAAAAGAAACCAAGAAAAACCGAGTTTCAATATCCAAAACATGCTCGATGAATGAATTTCTTCTGTAAGCACATTTTGTCGAATCCATTCCAGTAAAACCTCAAGTTTTCATCCTTTTAATGCGTTTTTCTTTATATCTTTATGTTAACCAACCTTTGCCCACATCAGCAACGTATGAAAAGCTATGCATTCTTTTATTCCAGGTGAAGTTGTCTTCTTGCGAAAACACTTGGAACTTTGTTCGACTACAGAATGCATTTCAAGAGATGTGACGCATATGTGTAAACATTTATACCTCTGCGTATTATGGAAAGAGTTTGCAAAAGGGTTTCGAGTTCCCAATGATCTATCAATTTATAAACTACGTAAGGTCTTATGTGCCTTTTTAATTCTATTATTTACAACAAAGTTACGGTAGCTTTAGTTTCAGATTGTTTCAATGTTTCTACCAAGGGCCAAGATTGTTTCAATGTTTCTACCAAGGGCCCCTGGATCGAGGGATTTTTCTACGAAGTATGTTGTTATGTAGTTCCTAGGGAAAAACATTGTTTTCTACTTTTTCAGGACTGCAAATTGTTCTTCTCACTAATCACTAGGTAATCTCGATATTTTTAATTTCTAAGAAGCCAAAAACGCTTTGGAAAATCGAGAACAGTGGTCTTTCATTTCAAGACGAAGGTCACACTCCCCCCCCCCAAGTTTTGTTGCCAGCAACTTTCTTGAGGCCCACTTGATGTTCAGTTGAAGAGAAAATGGAATTGGAATGTAGCGTTTTAAGGTAAAAATATACCTCTTTCTTTCCTTTCCATATCGTTTTGACTCTATTGTGGAAGAATACACTATTTCCTTGATTAAATAACCCTTCTGCGAAAAAGCGCCTCACTCAAATTGGCGCACCCTGAAGAAGACAAAGTTCAGAATAAACGCCTCTATCCAATAAGAGCCCCCAAAACAATGAATTTTATTGATTCTGTTAGTTTTTTTTAATTATTTTCTGCGAAAACGACTAAGACTACTAGATGATTATTCTCTTGCCCCCGGATTACTCCCAATAAATAGCCATTCCAATAGCCCCCTCTGCTGAATAAACCAGAATGACGAGTTAGATAGGGCGCACGATTAGAACAGCATCCATGTCGCAACACAATGTTTTGGCAGAACTCTTTTTGGCTATTAGTTCCTTATGCAAAATTATTGTTGATTTTTTCTGCTATTTTCGTGAATTTTGCAATCAACCCCCTCCTCTCTAATAGCTGCCCAATTCGAATAGGCGCCCCCCCAATAATGCTGAAGTTTACAATATCCCCGGGGCGTTGAATCGAGGAAATACGGTACAAACAATAGACTTGTTACTTCAGCTGTTCCTTGTCAAAGGGGAATTCTAGCAACAAAAGCAACATTCTTCGAACGTTGGCTGGTCATTCCTTTTAGTGGAATTCAAACAAATGACTTTGGAATGTTTCATTTTAGGCCCCTTTAGACCACTGTACAAATTGTTTTGAGATGCTGTCTATTAGATTTATATTTTCAATTTCATTTTTAGAGGCAGGTAGCTCCTACCTCATTCCGTCAACAAATCATGCGATGGCTGTCTTATTATCTTAAAGCAATGATCCTCGGCTATTTGAATGTATGTTTCGGTCGTCCCCATTTCCCATTCTTTTACAACAAAGTAGCTTTGTTATGCTTCCCAGTCGCCTTCCTATATGCCCTTTACCGACTCCCTGCCCCCTACCATTATGCCCCTTTTTTATCTTTAGGCAAGAAAATTGATACCATGAATTTTCCGCAGACCGAAAAATACTTGACTATAACACACGCAATCTGCATGGTTCTGCTATATCCCAATGTCCCTATTTCATGAACATCGAGGCAGTGACAAAGTCAAGAAAGTTTCCAAGGTTACTTTTAAAAGTCAACTCCTCGCAACCGAATCATTCGTAAATTCTTTTTTAGTTTAACTTTGAAAGGAATACAAATTGAAATTCATGGAGTTTTCACTTTGGCTGAAGCAGCACATGAATGCAAAGATCGCACTATTTCAAGATATCACTTTCAAGATATCACAAGATATCACTAGTCGAGTGACTTGGCATTAAACAATAGCGAACCTCCCCAGCCAAGCCTCTAGCTTTACAAATCGTCTATTGAATTTCTTTTGTTTCAAGTGTGAAGCTTTTGAAATTCTAGTATTTGCAAGAGAAATATTTTTTGTAGCTTCGTTATTCAGCCGATTTTTTCGTTGAATTGTGAAATGATGAACTGAGACATTAACCTCTTCGTGTATATTTTTCGTTTATTTTTCCTGCTTTTCCTAACTTTGATAATTGATAGTTTTCGCAAGCCGGTCACTACATTCCTTTCTTTACACAAAGAGAGCCTTTTGTCTCTGATTGAATAGGCAGTGTTTCAACTAAATGTTGCATTTCTGGCAAAAGTATACATTTTATCAATTTATACATTATACCACAGGATGCAGGAGATTGTGCTCTTCCTTCTGGTTTTTTCGCTGAGACGATCAGACCATTTCTGGCAAAGTTATTCGACTTTTTCTCAGTTTTGACCGAGGGGGATTCAGGTTTGCACAAAGCAGTTCAGAAAAAACAATAGGCTTGTGATTCCCAGAGTTTGTAAAGATCTTAGTTTTTGGCGATTTACTCCTAAACTATAATAGCTATGAATTTCTAGTTTAATTCATGAGACGGGCCGTTCGATGCTCGATTTTTTGAGCCGTTTCCCGTATTTTTAAGACTAGGTTTAGCCGAGTTATTAAGGATTTTGTCTCGAAAATCGCCAAAAAACGGTTTTTTGGACTTTAAAAATCGAAAACAGCCGCTAAAAATTCGCTGACACTTTCTAAAAATCGAGCCAAAAATCACCTAAATTCTGATGTATAGCTTTCTCTGTTTGAAGCTCGCGTTTCTTTTTAAAATCGATTTTTCCGAAAAGTGCACTTTTCAAATTTTCTCAAATTTGCATCGCAGCGTCCAGGCCAGGCCAAAGCCGTTGCTGCGATGGCGACTTATACTTTCTACTTAAAAACGGTATTTTCTTGAAGTTTTAAAGCGGGGGTAAGCTTTTTACATGCTAAGCAACCTGTTTTAAGTTGATTTAGATGCAATTACAGTGTAATCGCTTGATTTTAAATCATTTTGAAAAACTTCAGTACATTTCACTAGCCGCCCGTAGCCTGGTCAGCTTTAATAGAGAGAACCACACAAATATAAAGCAGATCGGGCGACGGGCGGCTAGTGATATGTACTGAATTCTCTAAACTGTCACTAGCCGCCCGTCGCCCGATCTGCTTTAATGGAGAAAAACACACAAAAATCGCTCGATATTCGCTTTTTAAGCGTTTGAGTCGATAGATAACTGCATCTATGTTCTATTTCTCTCAATCATATTGATATTAAAGCCTCAGAAAGGCAAAAACCAAAGGGTAACCCGGTAAGACAATAGAAAGTTTGCAAGCCTGAATATGCCAATGGAAGGGGATTCCCAGACCTTCATATCGAGGAAAAGTGAAGTTGCAAAGATTTTGTTGCAATTAATCCCTTTGTAAAAGATCAAACAGATTCAACATGCAAGAAGAGAGTGTGTAAACGGCTGTTAAATGATCAACGCTCTTGATATGCGAATATAGAGCGATATTTGTGTGGTTCTCTCTATCAAAGCTGACCAGGCTACGGGCGGCTAGTGAAATGTACTGAAGTTTTTCAAAATGATTTAAAATCAAGCGATTACACTGTAATTGCATCTAAATCAACTTAAAACAGGTTGCTTAGCATGTAAAAAGCTTACCCCCGCTTTAAAACTCCAAAAAATACCGTTTTTAAGTAGAAAGTATAAGTCGCCATCGCAGCAACGGCTTTGGCCTGGCCTGGACGCTGCGATGCAAATTTGAGAAAATTTGAAAAGTGCACTTTTCGGAAAAATCGATTTTAAAAAGAAACGCGAGCTTCAAACAGAGAAAGCTATACATCAGAATTTAGGTGATTTTTGGCTCGATTTTTAGAAAGTGTCAGCGAATTTTTAGCGGCTGTTTTCGATTTTTAAAGTCCAAAAAACCGTTTTTTGGCGATTTTCGAGACAAAATCCTTAATAACTCGGCTAAACCTAGTCTTAAAAATACGGGAAACGGCTCAAAAAATCCAGCATCGAACGGCCCGTCTCATGAATTAAACTAGAAATTCATAGCTATTATAGTTTAGGAGTAAATCGCCAAAAACTAAGATCTTTACAAACTCTGGGAATCACAAGCCTATTGTTTTTTCTGAACTGCTTTGTGCAAACCTGAATCCCCCTCGGTCAAAACTGAGAAAAAGTCGAATAACTTTGCCAGAAATGGTCCGATCGTCTCAGCGAAAAAACCAGAAGGAAGAGCACAATCTCCTGCATCCTGTGGTATAATGTATAAATTGATAAAATGTATACTTTTGCCAGAAATGCAACATTTAGTTGAAACACTGCCTATTCAATCAGAGACAAAAGGCTCTCTTTGTGTAAAGAAAGGAATGTAGTGACCGGCTTGCGAAAACTATCAATTATCAAAGTTAGGAAAAGCAGGAAAAATAAACAAAAAATAAACACAAGGAGGTTCATGTCTCAGTTCATCATTTCACAATTCAACGAAAAAATCGGCTGAATAATTAATCTACAAAAAATATTTCTCTTGCAAAAACTAGAATTTCAAAAGCTTCACACTTGAAACAAAAGAAATTCAATAGACGATTTGTAAAGCTAAAGGCTTGGCTGGGGAGGTTCTCTCCTCGCTCAAACTGGATAGTCATTCAGTACATAGCCAAACTTAAAAGGAGATCGCTATTGTTTAATGCCAAGCCACTCGACTTGTGAAATTCGGAGGATTGGTGATCTCCTATCCAATACAGCTTGTAAAATCGGTTGTAAATACACAGGGAGGGGTTTACAAGAGGGTAGAGGATACGCCTTACCCAAAATAAATTCAATGGGTTAACAGTCACCACATTGTCGAGCTTGCAAACTGGCTAAGACAAGCGTGATACTGCATATTTAAGGGGTATGTTTCAAATGTTGGGGAAGGCGGGCAATTGGTCTCTATAGAGACGTACCCAACGGCCCACCTGAAATTATACCCCTGGTTGACCTATCCAATTAACATAACTGGAAACGTATAAACAGCTGTTGCCAGTTATAGATGATCTTTCTCTGATCTTTCTCATGTCTCAGGGCACTCGGGCAAAACCCCCCAGCCAGGGAAGTTGAAGTCTTGCCTCCAGCAAAGTTGAAGTACCTCCCTTGACTCCGCAATCGCTGACCACTATGTTTTAAATATCGGAGTAACAGAGAACATGTCTCATTTCTAGCGTATATTCTATTTTATTATATATTTATATGTATATATGAATATTGCAAAGCAAGTAGCTTTAAAGCTGCAGTAAAAGGGGTAAGAAGCCTTGGCTCTCTACTTTTATAGCCTTGGCTCCCCCCCCCTTTCAAATTCGCTACGCAGGCCCTGTTATATACATACACTCTTTTTTGTATAAGAGCAATTTTATAAGAACACGAGCCTCAAAACTGGTCACAAGTTAAGAACAAATTAAGAACAAGCTGAGGCTGAGCTTCTGCAAAATAAAATTTTAAAAACAACGTTTTTTCTCAAAATCGAGAATTTTTAGCGATGTGTGGGTGCTTTTTCGGTGAATATTCAAATTTGTCAGCAAATTAAGGCTGTCTCACTCACTTTGTTGGCAAATGAGGCCTGAACACCTCCTTAGAGCGAAAAAGCTAGCAATTGCACTGCTTACACCCTTTTAATTTAAGAACAAATTAAGAACAATCCAGCCTCAGATTTTCGAAAAAATTGAGAACAGTCAGCCTGAACCTAAATTTACTGGTTCTTATAAAAAAAGAGTGTATACATATATATTCGTTCCCCTCGACCCACCACGTAGTGTACTCATTCTTCGTACACAAAAATGAAGAAACTATTATACAACAGTCATTGCTAAATAACGTAGTAGTGATGTAGATGAAAATGTTACAAATAATATATATTTGAGTTCAGGTTGCTGACGGTGAATCTGATGCACGAATGTCACAGCAAAAATTGTTGAAACTGTTGATAGAAAATGGAAATTTTAAAGAATGAATTAATAAAATCTGGTTGTATTTTATCAGTTGTTCAAGTTCTTTAAAAACCTGAATTTCAAATCACAATTTCAGGGGGCCTCAGCCCTCGAGCCCCATTTAGTTTGCACCTTCTACTGAGACAGCATAACCATTTTCAGAAAACGATTTATGAAAAGAAATACTACAGCAAAATTAATTTTCAACTCTTGTCTTTTTTGGTTTACCGTGGGTTCCTCTGCAAGTTGAAGAAAAGGGGGATGCAAAAAGTTGGGGGCATAGCCATCTGCCCCTTCGTCGGAGGCCCTGTATAGGTCACCCGGCGGCCTCTGCACTATAGGTCATAGTCACAGAATAGAAAATACGTACTTCCTATTCTGTGTCATAGTACAGTGGCCTCTGCTATATAAGAACCGTTTCTCTGATAGATAAGAACATAATACTACAACGGCCTGCAAGCTGCATAGAAAAATTAAGACCTCTTCTGTGACACTTGACAATAAAAAGTGCAATTTCTGCTGTACAGAGAATGGCATCAAGAGGGTTTTTAGACGTTGTTGCACGATTTCGCAAGCCAAGAGCAGTAAACACAATTCCTAATACTGTTATCCTCCACCAATTTTTTCCTATCGGGGGAATCCCGAGCGCTTCGCCACCATGCCTAAAGTTGGAGACGTTTTTACGTATGTCGAAAATCCCCTACGTTAACAGCTATGGGGTAGAATTTTCGAAGAAAGGAAAAATTCCTTGGATAAGCTACAACGACACAGATATAGCTGATTCAAACTTTTGCATTGACTTTTTAAGCAAAGAATTCAAGGTGGATTTGGATGAGGGCCTAACTGACAAGCAACGTGGAGCATCATTGGCCATTCGTAGGATGTGTGACGAAAACACATACTGGGGCCTAGTTCATCACAGATGGAATGATGAATTTGAAAAAACAAGAAAGTAAATATATTTCTGTTTGATTAAAGTTGTTTTATCTTCGTGCAAAAAGGTAGTATTTAAAATAGGTCACGGGCTGAGGTTGGTACCGCATATAACCAATGTTAGTTGAAAAGTCTTAATTTAAAATTTATTATGATATGTGAAATGTAACAAGTCTAAAAAGACTGATGAATAAAGCTGGAAAAAAGTCAAATGTAATAATTTCTTGAATAAGTTCCCACAGGTTTATTTGTAAAAACGAATTTCTCGATGGGGTATTGTTCAAAGGGGATCTTTATTCAAATGGGGGGGGGGGGGTTATAAAATTGCATAGTAAATTTATAAGTACATTCAAATAACAAGCAAATGTTTGTGCAAGACACATATTTTCAACATCTAAAATGCTCTAGGTCTACGCAAACTATGATGAAAGCAGAGTCAGTAATGCTATGCATATTTCCTAGTCAACAATTTGCTCCTGATTTCATGTATAGATTTGCACAAAGTTGTTAAGTTACCATATGGTTTTTAAATACGAAATATGGAGGCTTTAGAAGAATAAAGATGAGCAAGGAAGAAGACTTATGTTTCCTTATTGAAAAAAAATCACTACAAATGAAATATTCTGTTGTCTGGTAGGAACCGATGTCTGACTTATGAAATTGGCAAAAGTAAAAGCTTGATAGATTTTATACCTTGCACTGAAAGTTTTGCCACCAAATCAGTCATTCTTTTTCTGAAGTTTGCACAAGAACAAACACAAAAAATATTTTCACCAGGTGATCAAATTCTAAATTCATCTATTCAATCTATGCTACAAGTAGCATAAATTTTTTCTAGTTTTCAGAGTGTATCTTGAAACTTCTCAAAATAGCTTTGCAGAGAAAAGAACACGATGCCAGTGGAACAGTTTTGGATGCCAATGTCTCCATATATCTTAGATTCTACCCCTACTTCCCTCCAAAACAGTGGAGATAGAAATCACAGAGGGGAAGGTTATTATCCAGGTATGAAGAGGCAAAAATCCAAGAAATGACATATTTAGAAACTTAAGAAGCCATGTACCTTTTATCTATATTATCCAAATATACTTAAATTAGTCACAATATCCCCATTTTATACACATTTATCATTCTATTTCCAAAAATTGGCAAAATATTTCTCTTTTTTCCATAGATTTTTCAAAATATCAAAGATAGATTTTCTTGATAAATTCATTTGCAAATTGATTAGAAACAGAATCAGGGCACAATTAGCAGGACATGGAATCGGCTTGCATTCTGGAGATGAGGTATATTTTTTGGTGAACCAAGACATCAAAGCACTTTCAGGTTACCTTGGAAACAACAAATTCTTCATGGGTGAAAAGGCATCTCTTGTTGATGCATCTGTTTTTGGTATAATGGCCAGTTTTCTGTGGGTGGATACAGCATCACCTATGAATCAGATGATTAAAGAAAACTGTACAAACATCGAAGATTTCTGCAATAGGATGAAAGACACTTTCTGGCCAGATTGGGATTCTGTTGCGTCAAAGAAAAAGCTGAAATCCAAACTTTAAATGCACAGATAGCCAAAACACTAATCTTTATACTCTTTTACAAATCACAAATCACTGCTTTCCATGATAACTGCTAACACCATCAATGAAAAAGCTCTTTGGGTCTTTTTTGGGATACCTTAAAAATTGGGACATGCTCAAGGTACTTCAAGGTTTAGAATTGTGGAAAAATGTTTTTGTAGTATACTTTCAGTATAAATTTTTCAGGTTTGCAAAAGGGTGGAATATTTTTTCAGGTCTCGGTACAGTGTGATGCCAAATGGCACTATATTGTCTTTGCTGATAAATTGAAATGCAGCAAAAATTTCTAAATATCCTGCATATGCCACCATTAGCAGTTTAATATATTAGATGAAAAAGGACAACATATACAAATTCTTATATGTTTACTTAAATGCATGCACAAATGCCTCATATAATGAGCTAAAAAAAGTTTTTTTGGTCTAATTTCAATATTTACAATGCTTTTACAGGAATTATTTTGCATTCAATTCCCCCCCCCAAATGAAGCACCTCTGTCCTGGGAAAAGCAGTGCATCCCCTTGGTTTTAATATAAAGTGGTATTTGTTTTATTAACTTGCTATCATTTGGAAGGCCATTTTGGCTTGATGTTTGTTATTTGTTTTCTGGAATAAAAAAGGAGGACTTTTCAGCTTAAGGTTTTCAAATTATTTGTTTGGCTTGCAAGAACCGCGATGGAGAATATAAAGGTTTGAATATTAAAGAAAGTACATTTTACTGAAGACAGAATTGTACAATTTTATAATGCTGGAATGCATGAAAAGGGAAGATGGTGAAAACAAGTAAATCAAACTGAATAGGCATTTATGCAGTTTTTTAACAATATAAAAATGCCCAAATAACATAACCGAACAACATTCAAGAAGGATATCAATTTTTTGAGTTAAAAATGTATCCATAAGTATAACAAAATACTCTAAAAGAAGCTTGTGACTAGATGCACAGCATCAGAAACAGCAGGGAGTAACTGTACAATAACAGGTAGAGGGAATCATACCCTACCTCATTTTAGCAATACTATTATCTTTCCTAATAAAGGGAGGTGCTTTGTGTCATAAAATGGATTGGCATCTGGTTTTCATACAGGAATTGAAATAAGTAAATTTGATGAAGCATTTGTTAGTGGAAGTTAGTCCTTTGAAGATCATTATAGAAGCCATCCCCTTTTTTAATCCATTAGAAAGATTTGTAATCCTCCAGTTTAGTCCACAATCCTATTAGCTTCACTGCAAGAATAGAGATTATGATATTTGTGGATTATTGCTCAACTCTGAAATTTGTCTGTTTCTAAAAATGACGAAGGTTCTCCCACTACCAAAGGCTCACAGATGACCCTTGACCCTTGTACTTCATCTGCAAAGGTTTGTCATCTTGCAAATTTAAAGCATTTTTTCTTTAAACTTCTAAGATGTATCTTAAAGATGAAAAATCAGGGGATCTTTATTGCATCCTGCATTTCCACCTGCAAAATATTTGTGATTCTTCAATGCCAATTTTGTTCTTACTTTGCCAAACAAAGCTTCATTCTATACTAAATTTCAAATTTTTATACTACACCCCAGCCCTTAAACAAAATTTTCCTAGGCCAAAAAACAATTTTGCAAAGATAGCTCTTGCTTCATCTACAAAAAAAATTTTGGCGACAGATTTCTATCTGGGGTTTATTTACTACAAACATAAAATGAGACTTTGGAATTACTTTGTCTCTGCATAATGATTTCTTCATTCTATATCTATTGACCACTGTACAGCTATTCTTTTATTTCATTGGCCATCTGCCTGTGAAGTTTTGAGTGTCCCCTAAAACAAAAATATTGAAGCTGATTGATATTCTTAAGCTAAAATTTCAATAAAACTGGACAAATCTTGCATGGTGTCAAAATAGTAAAACAAGTCATGAAGCTTGTTAAAGTGATCATGAAAAATAATCACTGATGATAATGTTTCTGTTTTGCGATCATTTTGATAAATAATAATGATTTAAGATTTTGACAGGTGACAATGATAAATAGTGGCAATGATCATAAATGGTGAAAGTGATTGACAAACATCATGGATGTAACTGATGATAATGATGATTTTCAAAGATGATTGATCAATCACAATCAATGATTAAGATCATAATGGTGATTAAGGAAGATTGTGATAATGATTGAAGATTGACAAAAGCGATTGATAATGATTATGATGCTAATTGATGATGATTATGATTGTATGATTGGGGCGATAAAGGCGTTGATGATCATAAAGATTGATGAAAATAAGCTTAAAAATAAATAACTTACGTGGTGCTATCCTTGTATACACGGTAATAGTAATCCACATAGTTTGACTGACCCAGGGCTCTGACAAACTCCTCATCATGAGTAATAACAACAAGCTGGAAATTTCGTTGCTGCTGTCGGGTTGTAATTATACTACAAGAAAGAAACCATAAATGAAAAATTCTATGAAAAGACAAACAAAGCAAGATTTTTAAAAATATTTTGAATGAAACATATCATTGTGAATACATCATAATGAAACAAGGCGCTAAAACATATGTCAGAGAGAAAGACACTAATTGAAGTCAGGCACAAGCTAAAGTTGAGTTAAAGCCTTACTCTTTCAATGCGTTAGCTAAGCTCTCGACATTTTGTTCATCCAGGTTGGTCGTTGGTTCATCCAGAGCCAGGATTCCACAGTTGAGACAAAATGTCTCTGCAAGTGCCAATCTGATTAAAATGGATGCCAATACCTGAATAATTGAATAATAGCTATTTAGGAAATGAATTGAAATATAAAATTTATCCTACATGGAGGCAAGGTGTGCGATTAACATAATTTATTTGAAGAAGCACTGAATGTCCATTTTGAGGCTTTACAGGTGCTGGAAAAGCACACAAATATGCTTCATGATGAGACCTTTTTGCAATCAAATAGAACAAATAAAAGCATTTCGGCATTTCCAATATATCGAAGCATGAGTGTGAAAATGTGATTTTGTAAATACATCTAAACGAGCACCACAAATAAACGGTAGCTAACAGGAAAACAGTGGAATCCTGATAGAACGAACCCCGGAAATAATAATCTTTCTGGTATAACGAACAAAATGCCTGTTTCCCTGGATTTTGCATAACAAATTCCTTACAAATTCTCCGGAATAACGAACCACGGATATAACGAACTCTCGATATTACGAACCAAATTGTAGGTCTCTTCATCAAAATTACCCTCGATATAACGAACTTTGTATAAATTTTTCATCTTTTATTTTTATTTTTTTTTTCCAGTGTTCATTAATCACTTTATCTTGGGAGAAATCATTTTTATAATGGGTAAAACATGCTGATGATACATTTCAATTACTGGCTGGTAGACTCAGAGCACGAGATGAAAGTTCGATTGCGTCAGAAATTACTGCGAATGAGTACATTGATACTACCGAATACCCTGTTACATATGATACATTGGCAATGAGCGACGACAAAACTTTGTTGAGAGACCCAGATGGGGAAGCAGCAGAAGACAAAGAAGAAGGAATCGATGACGTCATTCATCCGCCAACTAGAAGTGAAGTGATATAAGCTTTGCCAATCTCTTGGTCCCAAAAGATTTTCACTTTCATTAAGATTATCACTTTCAATAACCAACCCGTAGTTTTATTTGATCTCAGCTTATTTTTTGGGGAGTTAAATGTGGACAGTAGTTGGAGATAGCCTAAACAAGCCCACCGAAGGCCTACACGACAAAATGAACTGCGATTAGACCTAAACAACGTTTTCTCTCGGTTTAACGAACTACCGATATAACGAACCATTTTTTGGTTCCCTTCAGAGTTCGTTATATCGGGATTCCACTGAATATTGTTGCCAATCTTGAACGTTAAATTCAGAATAAACAAGGAAGCTTTAAGTAACCTGGGAACATATTTGAACGAGCCCCACAAAATAAAAGAAATATTGTTGGGAAACTTTAACATTGGATTCAGGTTAAACAGAAGAGGTTTGAAACAAATATTGCTGGAACAATTTATGAATAGGCATGTCTAAAGACCTTCCCGGTGCAATACAACTTCATTCCAATTAGTTTGAAAGTAAAAGTTTTAAATTCAAGTAGTCCCAAAATCCCCTGTAATATCATTGTAGCGAGATTCGAACGGTAAGGATAGTTAGCTTCTAAAACGGATTAGGAACTCTTATCTAAACTCTTTAATTTTTATAAAAAAAACAGAAAGAAGGCAATGCCTTTGAAAACGTGAAATGTCATTGGGAAGAAATTGAAAAATGGTGAGATATTCAACCACAAAAACATTAAATATCTCCGATCTAAAATAATAGCTGTTTCAAAATGAAAAACCATTAAATTTAAAATGTGTGAGAAGGAAGTAGGATAGGCTGTCCGCCGGATTCTGTGAATCTTGCAATGAGTGTAATATAAATACAAAGATAAAATTCAGGAGAAGAGCAAAACGGCGACGAGAATCCAATGTACTAAGATAAATTTTCAAAATAATTTATATGTTCTTCTTTGTTGTGAATATCCTATCAATGGAGACAGATGTAGTGCACGTCCTGTCCACTCAAATATGCAGCACCAGTTGATAATTTGTTAAATATCTTTTGAACCTAGAATACCTTAATTTGGGGCTCTTGGTACCTGGCCCAAGCGGATCCCAACCCCCACAAAATAGCAATTCTCAAATGTTTCAAAAGCGGGCTCAAATTCAAAACCCATGTTCTCAACCCATGTAACATTTGCTAGACCCTCGACATTCTATTAATCGCACATTTATTTCTCTCTGTGGCACTGCCTTCTACTTGCATAGCCACTGAAAGCCTTATGATTGGCCCTGGGCCATGTTTAGGTCCTCATTAAGTCTGGCAGTACTGATTAGTCGCGATAAGACCCGTTTGAAGTAGCAATCCTTTTCTTACACACACCTTCGGTTAATACTTAGTGTTAGACCCACAACCTTCTATCAATACTTAGTTGAAACAAAACGTTTCTAGTTGTTTCTGGTTTTCAGCAAGTTTCTCATTCTACTCTTTTCTTTAACTAGACAAGACTCCCAATTATTCAACATGGCATTGCCCTGTCTGGATCCAAATTTCAAGAGGAGAGTTTCAGAAACCATACCTTTTGGCCAGCACTACATCTGCTCCTCATGTCCAATGACGTCTTACCTTTGATCATGACAACCTGCGACAATATAGAGTACAATATTTAAACCACTTTGGATATATAAATAAACTAACAGCGATCAGGTTAAAAGCACTAATAAAACAGATAAAAGCTTTTGTTATTGATAAGTGAATTTTCTTTACTTACTCGGACAGGAACACTCTATATTCAATGTCCTGGCTTTAGACTATAAAAGCAAAGGCTCTAAGGAAAATCTTCATTTTTTAGCTAAAGATCTTCTTATATTTTCTGTTATTTTTTTTGCATATCATAGCCAGGTCGGGCAATAAAGACTTGAGGCTGCAGCCTTGTTTTCTCGTGAGGAGCTATCATTTTATGCATAAGTCATAATGGCAAAATGGCCAAGACCTGTGACAGGCCCTTTTTATCAGATGCTGTAAAGTTTTCAGAGATAATGCATTCAATCTAGGTTGCAAACGACGCAAAGAATGAATTTGTGCTACTGAAAACAGACTAAAGCTTGATAAGTATTCGAATATTTTCTTTGACCAACACCGAAGAGAAGGACAACTCTTTTTAAAATTATGCAAGCCCCTTTGCGGTGCCTGGTACGATAGCAATCCCCTCCCCTTCCATTCCCTTTTGTTGGGCCTGCTGCTCCGAATAAATTTGTTTTCTTTTTCATCACTTCTGTTATCACTTATACTGATTTTCATTCTTACACAGTTAGTAATTAATTGGAAATCGTTCGCGTGTAGTGGAATTTCAAAATGAGAAAAAACTGGAACTAAATGGTATATCAGAATCAAGGCTAATTTTGTTTCTCACAGTCTAGAACAACTTTTTCTGTCATGAATATTCATCAAGGCATTTTTACACGTCATGGGAAGGGGACCGATTATTTCACAATCGGGGGTCTAAGAGCCTTTGCGAGATGAATTTTTAAAGATGTTAGCTTATCATTCTTCACGTGAAGATCAAGGTGGTGATAGCTCTTCTTCATCGAAACTTGATTCCTCATAAATTATAAACTTGGATAAAAAAGAAGCAGAATTCAGCAGAAATGCATGTAGCTTGCTGTGAATACCTCTTAGATCAAACTTTAATAGCTATCATCACCAGAACAGTGAATCAACATAAAGCAAAAGGAAACACACCCGGTAGTTATAGACACGCCTTGCCTTTGCTGCTCCACTTCCGGTATCTTCGTCTGCGCGTATTTCAATCGTATCGATATCTGAAATGACAGAGAGAAATTGCTCTTGCTTTCTCATAGCTGTAATGTTGTATCACCGAAATAACTTCACATTTCGTTACCCTGCATGTAGCCTAAAGCGGACACATATTGAAAGCTCGTACCACGACAATGACAGAATTTGGTTAAACAGGTCAGAGACCTTAGGACTTTGATAAAAATCGCCAAAAGTTATCATATGAAGATCTTTTTTCCGCAGAATGGACCAATGGGACACAATGTTGAAACTATATACATTTAACTGACCAAAAAGTTTTTCCCAGAGGTATATAAAATCAAGTTAACAAAAAATGCAACTAATTTGCTTTAGATTGACCGATCAGTATAATTAAAACAGCAACATCTTCTGTCTACACAAAATCAGATCTCTCTACTTAATGGGAACACACCACTAAAATAACTCAAACGAAAACATAGCCTAGCTAAACTGTTGTCATAATATCCTTGGGTATCTTCTGTATCACAATCCGAATGTTCAAAATGCGTTCATGATATCTGATTGTCATTAAGGGCAACAAGTTTGGATTTTCTATTGCAGTTTCAGTTACATAGTGCATGAGTAAAATCAGATTCCGATGCAATCAACTTGGATGTTTCCAGAACGTTGCATTGTGGATTTCGATTTTACATTGCGTTTGATTTTGTTCTAAAAATTGAATAAAATTACTGCCTTTACAGAGGGAAAAGAAGGGTAGAAAATGGATGATGAAATGAAGACATACCGTTGCCTTTGTAGGTATGTATCCAATACTCTTTCAGAATTCGATTGATCTCCCCCATTTTTATTGTATGAAACTTCATAATAGCTCCGTCTAATGCTTTGTAATACTTGTCAAGATCTTGATTTGCCATTTCTGTTGTTTTTGACTCGATTGCTTTCTTCGAATAATTCGTGTCCGCACAAGCAAACTTCTCGCTGCGCAAGTCCCGTTCCATCTTCCTTTGCTCCTCCTCCAGACCTTTTAAACGACCCTCACAACTTGCTTTGCTATTTCTCAACTCGTCTAGGTCCCTCTGCAGCTCAACTTTATTCGTGCCCAAGAGGCCAGATGCTCCATATTTCGACAGTTCTTTTCTCAAGCGAGCCAGTTCACTTCTTATTTTGGCCATGTCTTCCTCGGCCTGGAACAATCTAGGCAACACAGAAATTTAGCAACATTAACGACCATAGCATTCAAGTTGTTTAAATGCCAACAAACTGCCAAAGACCTTGAGATAAAACTTATGGTAACAAACGGTAATTTATTTTGAAAAAAATTGTCATTGATATAAATAGTGTTTGATACATACAATGAAAATGTTCTACTAAAAATTAAAGGAATATTCTAGGGTTTGAGTACATACTTTAAGCTTAATAGCAATTCTTAAGTTCTTCACTTCAAACGCTTTCTATCTAACCATAAAAATACAATACAACGTAGAGCTACAGAATGATTTTCAATGCAAAGCTAATAGTCATGTGATATACACAAATACATCAGAGCAGTATTTGCATGAGATGATTTACATAAAATACATAACTTAAGAAGTAATGAAAATTGCTGATTACCGGTCTGTCATAAAGTATTCGATACCATATAGGCGGAGATGTACACACGATATTTGGTGTATAGAACAGCGCGATTGTAAGTCGCTACTCCGAGTTTCATTCTCAATGCGATTAGCAGGCAACATAAGAAATACATTATAAAAAAATATGAAACAAACAATACAAGAAAACGGTTGTTTCTAGCTGTGGAACAGCAGCCTTGCATCTGCCACTAACAAAGCTAGACGGATTTATGTAAATCTTTAAATATACGTAATATGATGTGGATTAAAGTTAAACATGTTTATCCCATTGCTGAGTCGAATTGTTAACATGAGCAGAAGATTTTTCTGTAAATAACCCACATAAACAGCATGAACCAAGCAGAAAAATGTTAGAATAAAAAACATCAATGACAAAGTACTTTTAGAAGTAGTTATTAAAGAAAACTAGAAAATTTGAAATTGAATTTTGAGTTTGGAGATTGATTCTGAAAAGCAAACCCGAGTTTGGAGATTGATTCTGAAAAGTGGCAAAAAACACACCCAGGCCATATTGAGTAATACCCACCATTACCTAATTCTTTTTAAAGTTCTTAGTATTCTTGTTTAATTAGACTAAATTTCAATTTTAATATAATGTATTGTCGATAAACAACTTAGAATATTCAAGACAGGTCTTAAATTAGAATCGATTACGCGAAGCAAGGCAACGAAAAACAAGTCAACTGCTTTCAAAAAGCTAGCCACATAACTGATAGGTACGTAAACAAAAAATTGATGCTGTAAATTTAAAGATTGTAGAACAATATAAAATAATAAATCAAAGATCCTCGATAATATCAAGATGTATAAGGTATAGATATAATTGGAATCTTATTCAAAGAACAGCAATCAGGGAATTTGATCATACCTTACGTTGTCTTCCAGCTCACGGGCCCTTGCTTGCTGGGTATCGACCAGTTTTCGAGCCTCAGCCAACTCTTTGGCGTATTTTTCTTTCTCCCGCTCAAATCTGCTATTCTCAGCCTCAGTCTCCTTCACAGCATCAGCGTTTTGCTGCAGTGCCTTGTCCCTACCGTTGGCCAAATATCTGGAAAAAGGGTGTTTCGTATTTTAATATATCTATAAGAAAATGAACTAGTTCTTTGCAGAAACGCAAGGCAACCTGCCAATTTTTATGCGATCGATCTAATACTTGTTAAATCAACATGTGAAACCAAATAATTCTATTCAAACAATTCTTTGGCAGTAGCTTAATAATAAATCTGAAATAAAAATCGACAAGAGCGCTAAAAACCGTTCCTCCCCTGCCCCTATACTTCATCAAAGCGTACCTCTTTATCTCGGCGTCCAGTTCCCGCACTCTGTTCCCACTTTGCTTGATCGCTTCCAACAGACTGCGCACGTCTTCTGCGTGCTTCTCCTTCTTATCTTCTGTCAATCTTTTCTTTTCTTTGAACTCACTTAGAGACTTCTGAAGAGGCTCTAGTTGGTTTTCTGCCTCTCTTATCTCTCTCTCAAACGATTGGTTGTTTGAACTCAGTTCTGCTTTTTGTTCCTCAAGCTGTGAACGGCGTTGCAGTTTTGCAGAAAGGGCAAGCTTCAATAAAAGTACAAATAAACAATGAAATTATCCTTTGCTAAAGCAAAATTTGAAAATAGCAAAGAAAAGCGGGAGCATAACATTCTAAAGTAGTTTTCGTCTTACACTAATCGGTTTATAAATGACCGCCCCTTCTCAGGATAATGATAAAAGCTTACTGAATGTAATGCCTTAAAAGCTATAAATTTTATTAACACAAACTAAGTACGCAACTTACAAAATAGTTTAAAAACATTCAAGCGACACAAACCGCTGGATGTAAGCTCAGTAAAAGACATGATATGTTTCTTTATGGGCAAGCAAGGTCTTGAGTTGCACTATATAACAAAAATTGACATTTTGCCAACCTGCTCAGATTTGAGACTGTTGATGCTTCGTTCCAGCAATGAACACTGCTTATTGTGCTCCATCAGTTGGTTTCTCTTCAATTCCATCTTCCGTTCAATGCTTTCACTTTAAATCAAATTATGACGTCACAAAAATGATTGGTAGCAATAAAAACAAGACTGAAAAAACAATTTCCTGACAAATCGAACACAATAAAATGGATACAGCATGGCCAAATAACTTGCAATATTGTGGTGGTATCTTAGCAAAAACAAGTTCAGGTTTGAAAAGGATGGAATTGCTAGCAAAAATGTAAGATGCCCCGAAAGAGACGGCAATTGGGCATAAGGCTGAGAACATAACAAGTCCTGGTTTTCAGATCTTTCCTAATAGCTTTCACCCATCCTTGAGGGTCCACCTCTAGAATTTTTTTCAATTTTCATGGCAGGGCGGTGACTGTGCCTTTTAAGCCCGTCCGCATCTTCCGGAGAGAAAATGTTTTTGAAGAAATACATATTTGGATATGGATTGAGATCTTTTTTCCTCTGCACCAATCTTGTTTACCATCAGATTTCCTAGTTTGGCACAAAGTAAATCATCTGGTCCTCTACCCTTCCAAAAAACTACGTTAAATTCACAATAATTGTTGTTAAGATGTTAAGATAAGAAGAGTGAAACGACAGTAGAAATCACTTTCTACCAGACATATCATTTTCAAAATTTGAACTGTAAAATTAACGGAAATAACTCACATTTGCTCTTGGGCTTCTTCGATTTCAGCTGTTATCAATGTCATCGTTCTGCCTGGAGCTGTAAATACACGTACAATTATAGCAGTAAGCTTTGATAAGATCTCTGCAAAGCTTGCATCACCTTGTGGAAATTTGTTATACCCTTATCCAATAACCCTGGGCTGGTGCATTTGAAATGGTGCCGAGACAGTCGTGACATACAAGGGAATGACAAGTTAGCAATTACCCACTGCTTTGAGCCTCCCCAGCGTATGTGAGATACCCTTTTGTGAGACCTGAGTAGGTATCAACTTTCACTTGAAGGTGAGACCAGGAAAGTAAACAAAATTCTAAAAATCTTAAAGAAGCATCATTTTACACACAGTAGCATGCGATATCGAGAGCTGCGTTTATATAATGGGAATCAATTTACCCCAACCTTTCACAAGAAAAATTAACTAATGATTAAACATACAATGCCTGCCAAAAGTCTTGGAACACTGACGTCAATTTTACAGTTCAAAATCAGTCATCTCCCTCTCCCCTATAAAACAATGTTGGTTTACTATCAAACAGGTTAGGATTTTAGGAAGCACTTTCTTTTGCGCTTCTTTTATGATATTTCTCTAAATCATCAACATTGTTTTAGGGGGAAGGGGGTGGAAGTAGTAATTTTTTTCATGAAAGGAATGAAAGATATCAAATGTAGCGTAAATTGCTGGGTGTTCCAAGTACTTTTGGCAGGCATTGTACCAATATCTTATGCTGCGTAAAATAATGTAATCTAAAAAACATTTTGAAAATGCATTGGCACATCTCTAATATTTGATACTTTAATGTTGTGATCCCAGATGAACTATATAAATGTTTTTGAGCCTGTTCCAAAATGTCTAAACGGAAAGAATCTAGAGTGTTTTTCACGCATCACTGTCTATTATGAGATAAGAAACAGAAAGAAAATAAAAATTAAATACTCTGGATTTACCAATTCCTTTTAATTTTGAAGACTCCAGGCTGATGGCTTTATCGATATCCCGTATTTCATACAAGTATGAATCGACCATGTTGATATCTGGCTGCATATCCCTCGCTGTCCTTTCTTCTGTTTCTGTCATAAGACGCACATCCTCAAGCTAACAAATACAAAAGGGATGCAACGACATTAAACCTCCAACGTTGGCATCTCGCTATAAAATACACGTCTTCAGAACACGTGTATCTCCCTACCACGACCGGGTACTCGCAACCCATAGGTCGACCCAATATAGGTATCCCCCATATAGGTCCCCCCTTATAGGTATCCTCTGTATAGGTCCCCCACATGTTCCCCTCATATAGGTCATTCCCATTTAGGTCTCCCCCATATAGGACTCCTCTATATAGGTCTCCCCCGTATAGGTCTCTCCCATATAGGTCTCCCCCATATAGGACTCCCCCATTAAGACTCATACTTCTGCCGAAAGAGTGAATGACAAGGTGATTTTAGAAATTCGTCTAATAGATGAGATCTTTAAAATTTAACCTGCCCAGGAAAGCATATCAAATCAAACCTGACCCATCGAGAGAGGAGGAAGGGGGCAATTGCTCCTGGGCCCGTAAGCAATGGGGGGCCCACTGGCAATTAAACTGCCCTAATGGCAATTGAAATATGACTCTTAATACCGTTGTAGCTACAAGTTGAACACTGCTTTACAAATATGAATTAAAAGTAGATGAAGAAAATACTAAGCAGTTCAAATCCATTTCAAATACCATATCAAATTGTCATAAACTCTGGGAAGGTCCCCTTCTTTTGAACAAAAGTGTACATGAAAATTGACTGAAACATACGTCATTCAATTCCTGTCTCAGTGATTCGACTTCTTTACCAAGGTCAGAAATTTTCAATCTCACTTCGGGGATGTCTTTTGACTCCAGCGATTCGAGCTGAGAAACGGAAATGGCACATGAAGGAACGAGAAAACTAGGTAAAACTCAAAATCAACTAGAGATGGAAAGCTAAGCTTAGGTCGAAATAAGCAACTACACAAGAAGCAATGCAGCCATTGTAGCTAAGATCAGATAGATCTTTATACAGATATTATCAATACTACTACTGCCCGTCTTTTTTATTCTAAGAAACACGTTAGTACAGGCAGGCTCAAAGCTTCTTAACATTTTGTTAATTTGAGCCTCAAATTTTAGAAATGATTCCTTCTTAGCGTACCTGGTGGAGAAAATCTGTAGCCGTGCCTACAAATTTCTGTGCCTCTTTACGCTCTCAGTATACAACGAAGACACTACATTGCTCGTCACACTTTAACAGATCCTACTTGTTCTACACGGGATATATTCTGCTGTACTTGGGATTCAATTCGTTTCATGCTTTCCCCTATCCCTCTATCTGAGCCTTGCAATGTTTCTTTTTTTTGTTAGTTTTTCAGGTATTTGAGCTTCGTGTTTCTTATTTCCATGTTTCTTACAATAAAAAGACGCGTATTGGAAGAAGAACTGGGCCTTGACGCGATAAAATGAGCCTTAAAATTTATACTGCATCTGATATAGATCTGATGACAATAGTGAAAATAACATTGGCTTGTTTTGAGGTAAATGATTACAGAGTTGATGGTTACTGCTTTACAATTGATCATCTGAGACATAGATCGAAAGACACTCAATCTTAATTCAAAACTTTTTCAAAAAATTCAAATCAAATATATTGATAGGTAGTAGAAAGCCAGGATTTTGTACGGTCCTTTACACGAGACATAATGTGCTTTCTAAAGGAGGGTCGTTAGATTAGATCACCAGTCTAGTCTTTCGATGTTTAGAACAGGATGTTTCTCTAGTAGCCTAATGATCGCATTAAGTAAACTCGGAGTAGCAAGTTAGAACCTTGCATAGAATCTTTTTCTATACAACAAAAAGCGTGTACAGCTTTAAGGCATCAAGCACTTTATGTCAGATTGGTAACAGGAATGTTCATCAGTCTTAAAATAATGTGTACAACTTACATTGGCGTTCAGTGGTGCAAGCTCATCTACCACAGAAAGCTTTCTCTTCTCTTGGTCCAAAATCGTCTCGTTTTGCTGTCTTTTTTCTGGGACTGAAACCAACTTGTGTTCCAACTGAAAATAAGCAAAAATTACCTTTACCGCTTTCTAAATACCATCAAGAGTCTGGACAATATAGAACTTAGTGTGCAATTTATTCCAAACCCATTATCATTTGGCAATAAAAATACCTGTTTATCATGCAATCCGCAATAATGGCTTATGACCGAGATCCAACATTGGAAGATGCTCTTTTAAGTACAGAGCAGCACTTGTATAGAACAAGCTACCTGAAGGGCCTAAAGAAGGTTACTAGTTATGTCAGTTTAAAAAGAAGTTGTAAAAGAACAGCAGCAATTTGAAACAAATATCTTTTATTAATTTCTCATTAAAAGTAGGCTTTATGTTTACTTTGCAGGTCAGCTTTTTACAGTGAGTTCAATATGATCTGCATAAACAAATCATAAATATATGTATGTATATATTATTTCAGTATATCAACATCTCCTGAAGAGTGAGTCATCCACGAAACAGGTCTGTAGAGATGAAACTTGTAATTTGGTTGCCTTCAACTCAAAAACATGTATGTATCTATATATATATATGATCAAAATGGAAAGAAAATACAATGAATCACGTTTTTTCTGTTCAGGGATGCAAGACCATCATGGTATCTAAGGCTAAAATCACACAATTACCCCCTCACCTCTGTTACCAGCTGATGTAGTTCCCTGGCAGAAGCGAACTCACGATGACACAACGGGCATCCTTTGTCTTGCTTGTTGCTGCCCTTCATTTCAATTATGTACTTTCTGTAGATCTTTTCAAATGCATTTATTTCACTGACAATGCTGCAAATTACAAGTAAAATTCAACATAAACATTCCAAAATTGATAACATGCCAAATACCTCGAGATTTTTCCTGATAGAAGCTTGATCATGCGAATGAATATCTTAGAATACATTGGATACACCCAGGTTCTCTTTGATCGATATGACACCCATTAGGATTGTAATCTTACATTACTTCTGACTTTTATTAATGCATAAAAAAAGCGAAGGACTCAAAAAAGATTTTCACTGAAAATCTTTTTAAACATAAAACCAAAAGATTGATTTCTTTAAGGGATTTTTTGTGAAAAACAATTCTAACTTTCGAATTGAGCATAACAACGCAATCGGGTTTGAAAAAGATAATTTGCAACATTTCAATATCGATAGAACATGTTTTCTTTGAATGAATAATATAAGTTAAAAAAGAAAACAAGACAAGATTTTACTTTTTGTATTTATCGAGGTTTTTCGTTACTTTCTCCTTGAATTCGTTGTAACTATTTTCTCCGCAAGCTTCAATCAGCCTTTCTTTATACTCAGCCTGTTGGCTTTCCATTTTACGCATAGCCTCCCTGCATAAAAAAACACACATATAGATAAAGACTGCGAAAGACAACTTGTACCTTTGAAAAAGGGGGTGGGGTTATTTGTAACAGAGACGAATGACAACAGTTATTTGTTACGTGGCAGCGCATTAGAGTTAGATTGACATTCAAATCACCTGTTTGTATCGACAAAAATATGTTTGGGAAGGAATACCTTCTTTTCTAGTCAACTTTCGGAAACAAGAAGCAAAAGCGTTGAGTTGATTCTAACTGAGTCAAACCATACGACAAAGCTATCAAGCTACCTATTCAATCTAGCTTGCTTTAAATTAATAGGAATTGATGCTTCTAGCTCTTGATCATCATATTCCATTTAATGATACGTGATAACGAAAAAGTTACATCAAAATGCAGTTCTAGCTAGCCTCCTTTTAGTTAAATACAAAAATTAAGTTAAGAATTTTACAGAAATACATGGCTAACAATTAATTTGCAAGTTGGAAAAATATTTGAAGCCATCATCAGTTTAATGAAGGAAAATGAGCCCAAACCACATACATGTTGGTTTTTCGATTTGCCTCATTGGATGCGAGTTTCTTCTCAATCACCTTGATTTTCTCATTCATACTACGTAAATCTGACTTTTTCATTGTCAGGTAATCACGGAGCTGCGACTTCAGTTCTTCTAAAGGTGGACGGTTGCCAAAGATGGTTGACATGTCCATTTCATGGCGGTTTATGCTACGATTTGAATGTGAATACATTTATCAAATATCAAGAATTCATTAAAAAGGAATTTACAAACAGCGTTGGAAGAACAGATATGGATCTAAGAATTTTACAGTAAATGCTGCGAGGGTTAGTAGCATTTACTGTTCTGTATTCTGCATCACAATCGGTGAGCTTCAAAGTCATAAATCTCTACTGAGTTCCATGGTTTGACCCGTTCTGCTGCCATAAAGCTAGCAAGAAAACATTTTAAAAGATACTAAAGTTTTTCAGCTGACACACTTTAGAGTATTGATCGTCAAAATAATGATATAAAATTCTAAGCAAGGAATTATATGCACCCAGTTGTGGATGGAAATTGGCCAAACTGATATGTGAGTACATTAATTTTAAGGTTGCTCAACCAGTGACGTTTGCTTTTTGATAATATTACCAGTGGGATCCAAGGGTGGGAATAAACTCATTCTGTTTACACCAAAAATATTGTTGTGCTTAAGCATTGCTCGTTTCGAGACTTTTAGAGCAGGTTTGAAAATCAAAGTCGTTCTGAATTGATCCGTGTGAAAAACATCGCGTGAACCATGGCCAAAGTTTAAATGCTTCATCATATGAAGATTATTCTCAGTACTGGCCCCTAAAAAGAAGTAGGTGGCAGAAATCGTGTCTATCAAACGTTAAGATCCGGTTGGCTGTGTAGAAAAATTAGCAGTAATAGATTGACTGTCTGTGGATTAGCTACAACAATATTGAAGATTTTTGTTGTCCTTGATCTATAACAGGGTTGACCTCTGCAAGACACAAAGAGTTTAGGAAATGACGCAGAGATTTGCTCATAAACCTGACAAAAAATGCTGAAAAAAACACATCAAGAAGACAGCAGCTGCGAGATTTAGTCGAAAACATCAGAACCGAACTGGACTTTTGGCGATAAATGATCTTAAAAAAACATTTCTCTGTCTAAAACAGGCGGTTTATCGATAGTTCTTTGATTTCTTGTTTGATGATCTGATGATTTCTTATCATGTCAAAATCTGCTTCTGACACATTCGGGTTAGGCTGTTTCTTAAAAATGAGGACTAGAAGTGTGTAAGATTAAATGATATGAAAAAGTAACACTCAAAAGATAACAACGGATACAAACAATATTATGAAAATTACTACCACTACTTTCGTTGATAGAGACGCAATAGTCTCTAAAAGGGGAAAGAAAACCATGTTGAGTTAGAGAACATACGAGGCTTCACAGTCATGTGGCCTTTTCAAACACGACTTTAAAGCATCTACCTGCAAAGAATAACTTCTTCAAAGGCCACTAATTTCATGAAAGCAACGGCGGCAATTTTTGTTTTGTTTCAAGTTTGATGTGCAGTAAAAGATCCTTTAAACTTTTCTTCAAATACAAAAGGGCTTAAGTTTTAAGTGCAATTTTCGTGAATGCAACACAATGTTTTGCCTTACCTGTCTGTGAACAAGGCTACATAAATACGGGATTAATTTTGGACAATGTTAATTTCTTGGTAGGTGCCACTACAACGACATGTCGTAATTGATCATGGGTAAAATGTTGTAACTACTATTTGGGGGGGGTGAGACTATTTGGGGGGTGAGAGTTCGAATTAGGGCTGTGGTCAAATAATAACGTTAGTGCAAGCGCAAGGAGAGGGGTCTAAAGATAAGAAAAGAGAGGTTCTTCAACCAGCTTTTGGTAAGATCAGCCTGTCGTTTTTGCAACAACGAATATTGCAATAGCATTCATAAGAAAAATACTAATCCACCATTTAAAATAAAATAATCGTTGACGTTTGCTCTGCCACTTACATGCTTTGTATTGTATCTTCTTTAGCTTGCTTTTCTTTAACCTTCATGTCAATCTTTGTTTGTACCGTAGACTGCAGGTGCATCCTATTTTGTTCCTCTCTCAACCTTCCTAGAGTTTGATCCACCCCTTTCTTCTCACTAGCTAATGATTTTATATCATCATTAAACTGATTTGTACTGACTTGTCCCTGCAGATCGTTAAGCTCCTTCTCAGATTTTCTGATATCTCGCTCGATGCTTTGTAAGCGGTTCGCCGAGGCGGCCACAACTCCGAGCTCCTGGTTTATCTCTCGTATTGTTTGCTTGTTCTGTTCCTGCAGAATGAAAACAAATGTTGAGCACCCAACAAACGTCCTTTTGCGTACACAACAACTGAGTGTTGCAGCAGGATTTATTCTGTTGACATTTATCTATTCACTAAAGCTTATATCGTTAGGATGATTGGTCCTCTTTCAACATTAGTCGTACTAAATCAAAAACCAAAATGCCTTCAGTCTATAAATGTATGTCTTAAAAAGCGTAAGGCAAAACATTATGTAAAATGTTTTCATTAATCGCCAGAGAGGGTGCAAGTTTGATTTCACGATAATATGCTTGTGAGCTTTCATCTTTTTCGTCGTTCAGACTTAGACATTTGCTTTGATTTTGGAAAAGTAAAACAATTTATACCCGATACAGCTAAAAACATGTCAAACAGGGCGAAACTCAACGAGAGACAAAAGTATTTAAATTAATTTGCTCTAATGAATAATGTCAGCATCTTTCCGTTTGGACGGTAAGAATCTATATTCCAGAAGCTCAGTGAGTAACTGCTTATAACGGGCATCTCTCAATAACTGACAATTAAAAAACAAACAATTTGCTCTTCTCTCGAAATTTTTTTCTGCGCTCAATGGCTGGTGCAAGCAATTTCTACAAAACGGACATCTCCGTGCAATACACATAAAACCTGGTCCGAAAGTTGTTCGAGCATTTCACCTTATTCAAACCACTGTATGTAGAAGTTTACATAGAGTATGGAAAAACAGGAGCACAGATTTTATCGAACGAGGCATCAGGAATATTGAGTCATCTAGCTACTGTTGGACGCTAAATTTTTAATCTGATGTAAAAATATCAAGGATGACTACTATTAGACAGTGGCGGACACTTGGGGGGGCGAGGGGGGGCGATCGACCCCCAATACTTTAGAGAACAATGGTCTTTTGTTCTAAAACAATGGGAAATGTGACGTCATCTTATTAAAACAATAGGCTTGCCCTCCCAAAATTTAAGTGTCCGCCCCTGTTAGTAAACACACTTATTTTCAATGGCTGATACAAACCATAGTATTCCTTTTGTGCTTGATTGTTGATTCGTAGTCATGATATGATTTCGTCACTCTGTTCATTCCAGTAGAAATTTCTTCAAGTTGTTTTATAAAAACATTCTGAAATGCAAGAAATGAATTGAAAGTCAACTGAAATAAGATCTTTAGAGTTGGCTAGCTGATATTAGAACAGCTTACGATAAGTCATAGGTATATAAGAAATATTTGAGAAATTACAAAAAATTATTTTAAAAAACCAGCAAAAAGATGACACGAAACGCATATTGTGGAACTTAATATAAGCTATTATATCCAATATATCAAATGAAATTTGTAGATCTTTGTTACGTTGACATTCCTAGTTAACTGAAATGGATAGTTCAGTGATTTTATCTGTTAGAATGCACATAAGTAAATTCAACCGAACAGTTGGGTATGGCTTGCAACCTGCATCTTAAAACATACACCACCTGAATTTCAGAAGATGTTAGCAAGCATATGGAACAGTTAAAGCTCTGCTAATAATTTGCCCTCAACACTGAATGCTATGATTTGGTATCAGCCGTTGTTTGCATCCTTTCTACTTAATCAAGAACATGAGCACTCCCGCATTTTATCTGAGAAATGTCCTTTCTAAGAAGCATTCTCCAATGTACGGAGAAAATAAGATCTGTGACTGCCCGTGGAGGAACATAAGAAACATAGGAGAGCCAGGTGTTTGTAGGAGAATTAAAATACTGGCAAAGTAATTCTGCACCCTAATTTCTAATCAATGTTTGCTTTGAGGGCAACTAACCTTGGTTTTCTCTGCCTCATCCACAATTTGGCGATAATGCATTTTCAGATTTGATAAAAAGTTATCGACATCCTCTGGGCTATAAGGGGTATCTGGCAATTCTGCAAATTAATTAAAGCATTGAACATGAATCATGTTTATCATAGATTTTTTAATGAATCAGCCAATTTTTAAGAGTAAAACTATTATTTGATTAATTCTCACATTACAAACAAAACATTGAAACTTTCATTTCCATTTTAGATTTTGAACAAAATAACCCACGTTAGCGTTTTCGAAATTGAATCATTCTTCCCAAGAGCAACTAGTTCTTCTTATTTTAGGGCATTTTACCTTCTGAAATAAAAAAGCCAAAAACTAGAATTAAACATGGTTCTGTTATAAAACAAGCCATATGGCTGTGTTGGAGTAAACTGCAGCGCTCATAGAGCTTGTTTATATCCGCTGGGGAAGTAGGGATTTAATCATATTTCACAACTCCTTTCCCCTTCTCTAAGAATGCGTCATATTCCCTTCAGGTTCTTATGTGCCTTCTTCAGCGAATTCCCTTCAAAATTTAGGAAATCCGCAAAACGTGGTATTGAAGGAAACTTATATAAGTTACACGCATACACATCTTTTTTGCTCTTTGTCAAAATATTCATTGGCCAGAAAACGAAGATCAACAACATATGCAGAGGATTAGCTGGAAACTGTCAACTGATCCATCTGCGACAGATCATTTCCGATACAATTTGACGTGGGCGAAATAACTTCTTCTCGGTGCGTAATTTGGATAAATCCGTAAAAGTCGTTCATTTTTATTGTCTCCATATCTAAAGCCTTCAATCAAGTAGATATCTTAAGACCTAATAAGTGGTTCGCTGTCGTCACATCGACTCGGGTGGTATCAACAGCGAATTTGATCGTAACACCTGCAACTCAGAACCACTCTGTTTTATACACCAAATAGCGTGTACAGCTCTGCCCTGAAAACGAGCACTTTATAACAGAACGATAAACAGCAGCTTGCATTACCTGAGAGACTATATTGTTTAATCATCTTTGAAATTAGCTCATCTCGTGATGTAATCTTTATCTCGTGTGACTGTATTACAGAGATAAAACACAAGGATCAAAACTGTGGTATTGGATGTTCCAGGCATTGTATAGAAAAAAATTTCAACAATACTTATTGTGCAAAGCTTCTCTGTGATCACAAATGCATCTCTTGAAGCAAGCAGCAAAAAAATTAAAAATGCCATAAAAGTTCTTGGAATAAAAGACTCTTTCTGTGCTACATGAGAACAAATTTAACAAGAATACTTATCTGGAAATCATTTTCTGTTTATCCATGAAAATCATTATGTACTAAAGATTACCACTTTCATGTTGGAAAGTTCTCAAGTAAACCAAAATCAGACACGAAAGAGAGTTGCAACGAAGAAAATCTAGAATACCTCGGCTTCCTGGGCAAGTTTGCCTTGTTTAGTGAGAAGTTCTGCTCTTCTTCCACTCAGCTCCTGGATCGCTTGACTACACCTGTTCACTTTTGCTTCAATCTAAACCCAAAAGCAAAAAGGGGATCGTTCAGATTTCGTCTTAGAAATGTTAGTCCAAAAATTCTGATTTCTAAAGGATAACAGAAAGAAAGTAAAGTTCTATTCCCAAGGTTTGAGTCTACCAGATACTTACAACAAACCGTTTTTATCTTGGTCTTCAATTTGCTATCTGGCCATAACCACAGTCAATTAGAAAGATTTAAAGAAGATAATTTGGATACGAATGAAATTTTTCTAAATCTGGCAAATGTAGCTATTACATTGGAGGTTCAGTAATATCAACATTTCTGATGTTGTTTAAAAACATCAAGGTAGCACTGAAAAGTTTTGGAGGAATACAAAATTTCACGAAACAGTCATCTTTTAGCGATTTTAACGATTACAAAACAAAAAGACGAACCTGGTGAATTTTGACTTCTTCTCGTGATATTTCTTCTCTGAATCTATCACTTATTTGCACAAGATCATCATAAGAACCTACAAAAAGCAAAGATCTGTTTAAAAAGTACCTCTTTTGGTATTGATTAAGCCAAAATACAGAGGATGAGGTATCGTTTAAGATTCAGAAAATGGGACAGGGCAAGCAAAGAAGGTACACTCTGCCTCTCTCGTCTTGTTCACGTCTTTAAAAATTTGGAAAGGCCTTTCTCTTGTGGACATCATTGTCATGTAAACATAAAAGCTTTTAATGAATGCTGATAGTTTTTCGTTGTTAGTTCTTCCCAAGTCAATCTGGTTCTGGGTCATGCTTCAAATAAGACCGCCCAAATGCGATTTCAGAATGTATTTTAAAATGTACTACAATTAATGCAAATACTTTCAAAATAACTTAGAGCTGAGCGTAAAAAGTTGAATGGATAAGTGGGAGAAAAAGAAATCTTTGAACTATAATATTACTGTTGGCTTTCTGATCTGCCATAACTTCAAATGTGCTTAAGTCTCAAATCAAGCATGGCCTTAATCAACCTTCACTTAAGTACGTCATATGTAAAACCTTAGGATATGGCTTCAATAAAGCAAACATTTTACCTTAATGGAAAGCTTGAGTGGAATCTGAAGTTAGGTTTGTTCTATTAAAAATATTGTATGCAGATGATGTTGATGCTTATTGCGTGTTTTAAGCAAGATGCAGAATGACTTAGCAGCTTTTTATGTCCAAAAAACATAAAAATTTCACGGTAATACATGCGGATTCTTAAGATTGCTAAATGTCTGCACCTGTGAATTTGTCCGCTATCCTTTCCTCCAACTCTTTCCCGTTCTTCTGAATAAGCTCAAATGTTGACTCCTTGTTTCCTGGAAAAGATTCTGGCCATGAGAAAACATTAACTTGCTAAAGACTGTCACCAAAAAACAATGTCATGAGATCCAATCTTAGAATGCTTTAAAAAATCGTTTCTGATAAACAAAACTCAGCAAAAACAGTTGCTTTTGTAGCAGCAGTTCTTGAGAAAATTGCACATTGTGGCGTTTGATTCGCTTGTTATCACTAGGCATTTTAAACAGATTTTTTTATTGCACGGTTACCAGGGCCGCCTAGAGCCACGCCAGGCCAGAGGCAGGACCATGGCTTGGAACCCTTCCTACCAAAAGCACTTAAACTAAAATGCGTTTAACAAACAATCTATTTTTAATTCATATTCGTAAAGCAATGCTCAATTTTCTCACTACATACACGATTTGTAATTACCATATTATTAAGGGTCATATTTTAAACTGAGAAAGTAAAGCGGGCCTCTTTTTGCTTACGGACCCCACGGTCATTGCCCTGTTTCCCAATCCTCTGGGTGGGCCTGCCCATCACAACTTCAATTGGCAACAACAAATGAAATATACATTTAATGCTAATCCCTTGAAGTAAGTTAGTTACTTTCATGATAAAACTTCAAAATCGTCACTTTTTATTTGTTTCAGTGGGTTCAAACTGATAACAGCAACAGACTCATAAATAATTAACAATCTTGAACATTCATAGAATAAAAAAGAAAGAAAGCCTTAAACACTAACAGCCAAATAAAGACACTACGAACCAATTTCCTTCTCGATTCGAATCACTTCAGTCTCCACACTTTCTATCTCCGCAAGTTTTTCCTACATGAGATAAACTCAATATAAGATATATTATCCAACAAGACATATGTTCTCCTACAAACAACCATGGTCATGGTTTTATATATTTAGTCAACGTTTTTGTTTATATTGATTTAGAGCCGTATCTAAATAGGAGATTTAGGTAAAAATAATTTAAAATTTAAATTGAAACAAAGATTGAAACCGTAGTCTTACGAAGATGTTTTTTCTTGTAAGAAACACAAAGTGCAAAGGTCGATTAAAGTTGATTGACTAAAATAACAAGGATCTCATGACGACAGCCCAAAGTGCGGTATTTGAATTTCAGTTCTGTTTCAATCGTCGGTTCAAGATAAGTCTCGTGATCAAAAGTGGGATAGTTAATGGGAAAGGAACAAATGGGACAAAATTGAAACAAAATACCATTAAATAATTGGCGGATGAGCTTACAGGAGAGCCATGTGATAAAAAATACCAGCACTATTCGATGAAATACATCTGGCCAACTACTAGTATATTGGCGGATAATATAATTGAAAGGAGGATGTTAAGATACTGTCTCGGAATAACTCTTGAAAAACATAGTAGATATGAGGACAGTTTGGAGTTATGTCATACCTATCAAGGATCTGATAAGAAAGGGGAGCTATGAATTGTATTAGCATTTTTTGTGTCGCCATGACCTTTACAAATTAGGCAGAAAGACATTCAGGTAAGTGGCATATAAATACAATGATTACAGCGATGTAAAGGTTACTTGGGCTAATGGCTGCGCAAAAAATACTTTTTCTTGGAACCTATCAAATAAGGGAAAACTTTTCTACCAGATAAAAGCATTGCAAAAACAAAACTGCGTTCCTTATCATCCTTCTCAAAAGCTGCTAGATTCTGCTTGCCAGTATTTAATTTCAGTAAGATTTATCATAGATCTTATAAAAAAGCCCTCAATGATGGAGAAATTAGAGAAGCTGTCAGAGGAACCTTTTGTAGATGCTTCTTGGCACTAAGCGAAGATATAACAACAAAATCCTTCATTTACCAGAAACTCTACATATGGGTATCTCTATTATATAAGTACTGTGTTTTTAACAGTCTATTTCATTTTTGTGCTTAATTTATTCGCTCATTATATTGTTGTTATTTGGATATCACATGCAACATACATATTTTATTGCGCTTTTTTTTACCTCCTTATTCTATAATGGTATTGCACGGTTAACAAAATTAGGCCTTCTAAGAAAGTGAGCTAAAATTTAAGCGGTACTATCTAAATATCACCTGCCTACACAGAATTGTCTGTTGCAATTTAAACAAAACCGGATCTGTAAAAATCAGAGCGGACAGAATTATACTGCAACAAGGTCTTAAAGGCATTCGACAGATAAAAAAGTCGATTAAGACATCTGCCAATCGAAATTAGCCAATAAATGAGCGTGTGAGTGGCTACACACTCACTGATTGGTCAATTTTCGATTGAAAGATGGCTTAGGCCCTTTTAGTATCTGTTGACTGCCTTTAAAATGTAACTTCATACCTCCATGGGTGCCATTTCCTTTTCCTTCTTTTTTATTTCATCATAAATAACCTCCATTTTTGTTTGTTTTTCAATCAGATCGATTCGTAGCTGAAAAAAACAATTAACAAACAGTTAACATTTACTTTAAAAGTAAAACTAATAAGAAGACTATTGTGCTTCTCCAAAATATATATTGGCTTTTTTACTTTCTGATTTCTAAAATCATTTTGTTGCGCTCACCATCCTTAAAATTTTCTGAAAGTTCTATCAAATTTATGCTTTGTGCTTAACTTGCAACAAATCAAAAAGGATTCAGATTGAAAAAAGCTCAACAAAAGCATGCCATAAAAATCTGGTTGGATATAAACGTCGCACTTCTGCGGCGCAGTTTCACCTGATAGTGTACTTAAACCAAGACATAGATATAAGCAAATTAACAAACAACAACATCGTCCAGCATGGAATCATCAATAGCGCCCAAAATTATTTCTTCCTCGTCTTCTACATTATCACTCTCAACTTCAAGGTAGCAGGGAAGCTTGTCAGAACCTGGTAAGACAATGTAAGCCTCCCTTGTTTATAAGCCACCCTTGTTTATAAGCCACCCTTGTTTATAAGCCTCCCTTGTTTATAAGCCACCCTTGATTATAGGCCGCAGCAAAACGTGCCAAAAAATGTAAATGCCGGACTGGAAACAAATCAATACGATTTGAAGAATGTCACGGTTAAAACAAAGTCACGCTTAGTTCACGTGGTGCTACTAACAACGACAGGCTTAAATAGCGCTTTACATTTGGGTATAATTTGATTCAAATTCAATTCATAATTCGTGCTAATCTCGAACTCAGCTGATTCTTATAAATTTTGAGACATGATATTCAATTTGACAGGAGTTAAACCTCAGATAAAGGTTGCGAGTGCATAAGCAAAGCATGTTTAGATGAAAAATCTACGGGTCAAGAAATACCTGCTCAGCTTCAACCTTTCTCTCTTTCAAGAAATTCAATTCTATCTGACATTCTTTGACAATATGAGTCTGGATAAAACAGAAATAGTTTATTACAAGTTGAGTTATGACACAATACTGTGTTTTGGTTATAAAAAATGCATCATGTAACCCTTTGCTACCATATCATCATCTCAGAACTGTCTATGGCTGTTGAAAAACAGCAAACACATTGTGCAATTATAAAGCAAGATTTCTGCACAAAGAACAGTTAGTATATACCTGATATTAAGCATCAAGTGCCCAATATTGCCTTGGTATCAGGAAGCTTGTTGCGATATTGGAAACTGATTTATAGCGGAACAAAATAAGTAACAACATTATCGAAAAATTTGGTTTCTGCAAGCAGCATGGAGCAGTTCAAGGATTTTTAAATGGGCAGCAGCTGGAGGCTTTCAACAGAATCAACACCAGAACGAGCATACTGAATACCAGAGCAAGCGAATGAATAAATAGCATTACGCAGATTGAAACGAGCAGATGCAGACGTCAAGATCCAAAATCTCAGTTTTGGACGCAAACGCTACTCAAATGTCATTAAGTTCTGTCAAAACGGAGCTTTAGACGTAATCAAATATTACGATTCTTGATAAATCTTTACTTTAAAGTGCTTGAAAGATAAATGAGATAAAAGACATTTGAATGAAAGATAAAAGACATTTGAATGAAACTCAGATTGGTGAAAAGGGTATCTTTTAAGCTTTTAAGTTATTTTATGACCTTACAAGTACTATAGAAGTTAAAGTAAAATCCAAGCCCGGACGCTATAAACACACTTACTTGATCTCTTCTCAATGCCCGAATATTTTCTAATGCTTTTATGTACCTAAAATAAAATGACATCTTTTAAAAAACTCACATAGAAAAAATAATTGCAAGGTCGGTATATGTCTGCGAGGGGTGTATGAAAATGGTCTCTTTTTTAGCTAGTAGATGCCTAGGAATTTCCTTAAATGGCAACTAAACGTAGTGCAAAATGCTAAAAGTTGATAAAAGGACAAGAGAAGAAAATAATGGGAGATATAGTCTGTTGACTGAACACAAAAGAACTTCCACATAATAAAATCTTGTGGTATTCGGAGTTTCTGTCTATCATTGAAAGGTGCCCAATGTACAAATGTACAGGGCATACCTTTCAAAACATAGACGGTGGGAACTCAGAAGGACGAAGCTTAAAAAAGTCACGCTTACTCTTCACTATTGTTAGGAGCAGTCTACTGCAGAACGCCTTTGATTTACACTGCGTAACAAAAACTTTAAAAGTAAGCAAGAAGTTCCCTTTATAGTCACGTTTTCTGAATTTATTCTACTTTTCCAAACACAAGCTTTAGGTTTCGTCCCGACTAAGATCCTATCAACATTGAAGAAGATCTTACTTTCGAGAAACAATACACCAATACATCCTTAAAAAAAGCTGGGTTTTTATTCCATTGAATTTATTGTTACAAGCCTGGGTCTGACGAATGATTCAAATGACATAATATTTCTTTTTGAAAAAACTCTAATACGCTATTGTAGAAAGTTATGTTCTGCAATCATTGCCAAAAGTCTTTGTACACTAACGTAAGTGTCCAAGGGCAAATTCAGCCATTCCCCTTTCCCCCATTGAACAATGTTGGTTTACTACAAAACAACTTAGGGGATTAGGAAGAATACTTTTTTCTGCGATTTCTAGAATATTTTTCTAAACCATCAACATTGTTTAAGGGGTGCAGAAATACGAGTATCCGGGGAAAGAATTGAAAAATATAAAAACGCAAATTGCTTGCTGTTCCAAGTCCTTTTGGTAATGATTATGGCCCATGTTCTACATTCTTTAATCGAACTCGATTTAAAAAAAACCGCTATGCAATTCTTAACAGCGACAAGAAGCTATCAATGTATAGATTTCTAAATATCAAATGTGTTTGACAATGTATTGTCATTAACGTCAAAGAAGAAAACCAAGATAAACTGCACGAGTTTTGTTTGAGCTGACGTCGGCGATCACGTGTTTTATTTGAGTTCACATCACGACGTTCATTTAGCACTTGTAGTGATGAAAGAAAGCAGTTAATAAGCAGCTGCATTTTCAAGCAGATTTCGTCAGCAAACAAGAAAATTCCTACAAAAATCACCTCGTAGCTGCAAACAGATCGTCGAATTTCTGTTTCAGAATTTTCCCTTCACTCAGTGGCCTTAAAAAGAAAATATAGTTTCATTTTGAAAAAACAATGAAAAGGTTAGAAGCTCGTATAAATAACATAAAAGCTCTTGTGAATAACAAATACAAAGATTAAAGAAAGGTTTTTACCAATTGGCGTCTTCTTGATGGCAGAAGATCACATTCTCAAGCACTGCCTTTGAAACGCCCAGTCGTGTAACCATCTGTAAGAAATGTTTCAACAATGTTCATGCTTTCAAACTAACTACTTTAAGGGAAAAAAATTTTGCCGGAAGAGAGTTTAGCAAATTGAGAGAAGTGCGAAATTTTTTGTAATGAACATGATACAGGATCATAAATAAAATGCAGTACAAGAGAGATTGTGGGCTCATACCTCACGATTCATATCAGCGCATCTACTTGTAAGACTCTGCTTCTGTGAAATGAGAAACGATTTCAATTAAGACATAGAAACACACTACATTACAGCGGGCAGCTTATTCATGACCTGTCTATGGCATTTATATGTTGTAACTTGAACTGATTTTGAAGACCCTAAACTCTGCATTTTATTCTATAAAACAACTCCCTCCCTCTCTAGGGGGCAGTAAAACATAAGCACAGAGTTCAAACAAATTTCTACAGTCACTTCCGTTCTTGTTTGGAATCCGGTCAATTTATTCCTTTCTTACTGGCCACAAACATTTTTGCGAATTTAACAGCTAATTAGCTATTGTGGTCTTTATTTTTGATTTTTATTATGTCAACCTTCTAGACACCAAGCTCATAGTTAAATATTTTTACAGCGTTTACTTTATCCTAACCATGATATCTTACCTAATCTACCAGCAAGGCTAAATAAAGATCTGAATACGTTATAACCTATTCAGTAGTAAATGTTAAAGTTGTTATTTTCCTGTTTCAGCCTTAAACCCTAGACAATAAATCTTCAATGCGTCTGTATTTTGTACGCCATACACGTAAAAAGAGTGTACCAGTCTAACCGAGGAGAAAACTTTGTTGAAATCAAGGTAAATCCCAATATAACTAACCCAGGTTTGCTCCGACAAAAAAGGGACGTCTCTCTGATCTATGGTTACTATTGCTCTCTGGGGTAAGTTTTAGCCCCCTCCCCCCGTACAAAAGTACAAAAAGACACGACAAATTTCAAGCTACTCTCCTCCCCATGTCTCAAAATAAATAAACATAAATATATTAAGTATCACCTTTTACCAATTCGTTAAAAGGAGAGCATTTAAAGAAATATTCCACAGATATTTTGAGAACAGAAGTATCTTCTTCTCAAAAAGTACACTCAGAAAGTCAAGAAGTTTATATATAGTTTATATTTTGCTAATGAACCCAATCAGAAAAAGAGAAAGAGCCCTCGAACATTGACTTACATTATAAAGACAGGGATGTCGAAGAATAAAAAGCAGTTAATATGAAAAACAATACCTCGCCATTAAGTGTCCTTGTTATCACGCTTTCTAACGACTTTGTTTCAACTTTCTTAACCTGTAAACAGATAAACATAGAATACTAACCAGGGGTGAATAGGAAGAAGGGAGCAAACGAGCACTCGGGGCTTTTTTTCACACGAGCGATCACTCGCGATCGCGTCAGCACTCGCGCAAATCCAACCACGCGAGCGTTTAATTGCTCGCGCAAAACGGTAAATTGTGAGGAATAAATGTCTCATCAATTAACACATTTCTAGTCATCATTTGTGACCCAAGCAAGTGACATAGACAATACAAAGCCGGTATACCAAAACACAGGAAATATAAGTAAGCTGACTAATCCACATCTCAACGAAAAATGCATTTGAAAATCAATTCCACAGCGAATGTTTAGGAATACTTTGGGTACTAGAACTTGAGCACTTACAATAGCACTTAAGACATTTTCTGGGCAGCCAGACTGTAAAGTATTTTTTCTGCGCGGGGAACGCCAGAACAATAATTGAAATTTGCGGATAACGAACGTTTCCCGCGAAATCGTGCGCGGAAGCAAAAGATTTCGAAGAGACCTTGAATTCTTTGTTTTTTCTTGTTATCAGAAGTTACATGTTTAAATGGTGGAATATTCGCAGGGAACATGTCCAGATGAATAAATATTGTGCGCGGAATCTACGGCAGATTCTTAACAACATTTTGCGGCAATAACGTCGATACGACCTTCATGATATACATAAAGTTTACAAACGAAGCACATTTGTATTGGGTACTTATTCTTTCTTGGAGTGCATTAAAGGTCATCTTGTCTGTTTGCTTTCATTTGATGATACTTCAAACCAAAGGGTACCTTCAAGATCATTGCTTTCACTACCAGAGCGATTGCTCGCGCAAAAGAAATCATGCGAGCGATCGGCCACTCGCAGTGTGTTTTTTTTACAAAAAAGGCCTGAGTCCTGCTAGACGGAAATTCTTCCCATTATCGTAGGAAATTTTGATCCATACGAAATTATACATAATCTTTTGGAATACAAATTAAAAAAGTTATCGTTATGTTGGAGAACGTTAACTTCAAAGATGTGGTTTCATTCTCGGCAACATCACTGAACGGTTTCCTTGATATTTAAACTGTTTAACTGGGAGAAGACTTAAGAACTGTTGGTGGAAGCCTGTGATCAGCTGGAAATTGCATTTAAAAATCCGCAGTTTTTTGTGAAAGCAGGATTACTTATTATGTGAGAAAGGCTTCCAAAGGTGTCTGGAAATTGCATTATAAGATATCCCGGCAATCGCTGTGTGCTTAGGAAAGACAAATCTTGATTTTCACGAGGGAAAAAGTAAAAATTAAAGCCTTTATAACTTGCTTCCATACGAGCGAATTTACTAATTTATTGCTCATACAAAAAGTCAATATTAGGATCACAATTGCAATCGTAAAAAAACTAAGTACACATAATCACGTGATTGATTTTCTTCTAAAACTTAAAGGGCCTCTCCAGCCAAATTTTGCACTTGCATTTTATTGACTAATCTAAAGGAGTTGAACCTGCTGATCACGAATTCGTTATTTGTTTTTTGATATTTTTTACAGTTTATGAGATATAAGCCCTTGCATTTCGATAATTGAATTGAATTAACCGACAAAAATTTTTCGGTTTGGTGACACTGTAACGCAATTTTGACGTCACAGTGTATTTCGTTAGTCTCGCCTCAAACCGACTCGAACGTCGGCGATTCGCAAATTGAACACTGCATGCAAATTGAAATTGTCAAAAGTTTTTATCAAGGACAACATACAAAAGAAATTTTGCGAAGTATGATGAAAATAGTTTCAGAAGAGATCTCCAAAGTCAGCCCTGGGAAAACCTTGAAAAAGAACAAAATGTTGACAAAGCATGGACAATTTTCAAAGGGCTCTTGAAGTCAGTAATAGATAAGCATGCACCCCTAACAAAGAAAAAGGTAAAAGGGCGTGATTGTCCATGGCTAACAAATGAAATTAGATCCAAAATGAATGAGAGAGATTACTGTATGAAGAAAGCAAGAAAGACAGGAAAATAAAATGATTGGTCCACATATCGTCGCTTACGAAATGCAGCAACTCGAATCATCAGATACAGCAAGGCAACTTACACAAGATCTGTCTTTCAAGAAAACATTAACAGACCAAAGCAGTTTTGGGAGCAAATTAAAAAATGTTATCCAGCAAAATCCTCAAAAGATCGAAGCAGCTAGGTATTTGAAATAAATGGAGAAATTACTTCAGAAAAGAAAACTATATCAAACGAATTCTGCATGTTTTTCGCGACGATTGGCAGAAAATTGCAAAATACTTTACCAGCAATAGTGAATCAAAGTTTGGAATATCACAAAAACTCAACATTGGATCATAGACAGAACCCCAAAAAGGTAACCTTTAATTTCAAAATGACAAACATCAAAGACATCAGAGACATTTTAACGAAACTAAAAAGAAAAAAGGCCGCTGGTTGTGATGATATACCAACAACGTTGATTGTTGATGGAGCAAACGAGATAGCTGGTCCTCTCTCAAATTTGATTAATCGATGTCTTGAAATGGCAATCTTCCCATGTGCTGAAAAATGCTCAAAAATTACACCAGTCTACAAGTCAGGTGAAAAAACGATCATGGATAACTATAGACCAATTTCTGTACTCCCTGTTATTTCAAAAGTCTTTGAGCGGGTTGTGCACAATCAGCTCTATGACTATCTTGAGGCTAATAATATGCTTTCGGAGAGACAGTTTGGTTTTCGAAAGCGATCATCTACTCAACATGCAGTTACATTTTTCTCAGATTTCATCAGAACCAATATGGACAGGGGCCTTATGACTGGAGCTGTATTTATTGACCTGAGAAAGGCTTTTGACACAGTGGACCATGAGAGACTCCTATCTAAACTTCTTCATTATGGTATTAAAAACAAGGAGCTTTGCTGGTTCGAGAGCCATCTGTTTGGTAGAACGCAAATTGTATCATATGATGGAGCCTTGTCAGAAAGTCAAGCTATTTCCTGTGGAGTACCGCAGGGATCCATATTGGGTCCATTGCTTTTTACCTTACTAATAAACGATATCGATGAAAATTTAAGCCAATGTGAAATGACCCTCTATGCTGATGATTCTGTTTTGTACGTTGCTGGTAAAAATTGTGATATTATCGAAGAAAAGTTAAACAGTGATCTAAAACAGATTGCTTACTGGCTTCAGCAAAATAATCTCGTTATTAATCTTAAAAAGACCAAGACCGAGTGCGTCCTTTATGGTACACACCAGAGAACTTCGAAATCAAAACCTATGGAGATCAAGATCAATAACAAGAATCCAATAACACAAAGATCACAGAATCTAAAGAATACGAATATCTAGGAGTAAAGATGGACAAGAACCTGACATTTTCTGATCATTTCGAAAAAACAATAAAAAAAGCCTCATCTAGAGTAAAGTTATTGTCGCGTATACGGCATAATATAAGTCCTTACACAGCAGAAACAATTTACAAGGTAACAATTTTACCAATTCTGCTTTATTTTAACAATGTGTTCCTTCACATGGCACCATCAAAAAAGATGGTGTATGAGAACATTCAGAGACGGGCACTGAAAGTAATAAATGGCAACAGGGACAGTGTACAGCTGGAAAAAGTCAGTAGTATACGAAACAAGATGTGTGCTCTTGAAGTTTTCAAAAGTTTGAATAGCGTATCGCCACACGCCTTTCGAAACTACTTCAATAGAGTAAAACACAGGCAGTGTACTCGTGCCAATGCAAAAAATATTGTGTTGCCCAAAGTACAATCAGAAGCAGGCAAGAAGGCCTTTTACTTTCAAGGAGCAAAGATTTTTAATAAACTAACAGACGAAATGAAGTGTGAAACATCAATTCTAAGATTTAAGACTTTTTGTAAAAATTTTAACTTCGACTTTTAAGATTTCATTTTCATCATGTATTTAATTTTTATTTCGGTAATCCATGTATAATTTAGACAGGTCCTTTATTGATAACAGCACGTTGTTGCTGACCAAAGTTAACCTGTATAAATATGATATTATTATTATTATTATATGCAAGTGATAGTACTCTCAGTTCTGTTCCACCGGCTTTTAGTTTGAGCATTTCAGCTATCAAATCTGAAGCCTTTAGTTGTTCATCGTTTTTTGGAGAACAACTGAAGTGTCAATTTCGATTAATTATACGCGAGGGAAGAGCTGGAACAGGAAGCCGTAGCTTTGTGGGCCTACACAGGTGATCAAAACAAAGTCGTGACACAGCATGGACACATTCCGACCCGCAAACTTAGAATGATTGTAAACATTTAATATTGTTCGATCCTAAAATGCTTCTGCTCTAGATTTAGATGCAGTTATCAACGCGTGATCATGACTCCTTCACGATTCGGTAGAAGATATACGAAATTCATGGCGAGCGAGAGCCGCACACTGTGACGTCAGAATGTCACAAAACTGATTCGGCTTTTGTCGTTTTTTTCTCGGAAAGGTGCAACTTTAAAGCCTTATAACTTCTAAACTAATTGGAATTTTGCAAAAACAACGACTTTGCCATAATACACGCACCAGATGCTAACTTTTTAGTCAATAAAAAAAATATTTTTTTTGGCTGGAGAGGCCCTTTAAGAAGTCATAGCTTTATTAACAATAGATCACCTTCTACCTTTTATTTTAGACTATGTGCATGCAGAAATGAGTGAATGAGCGAGTGAAAGAAGGAATTAATGAGTGAGTGAGTGATTGAGTGATTGAGTGATTGATTGTGAGTGAGTGAGTGGGTGTGTAGGTGAGTGAGTGAATGAGTGTGTGTGTGCGTGAGTGATTGAGTGAGTGGGCGAGTAAGTGAGTGAGTGAGTGAGTGAGTGAGTGAGTAAGTGAGTGAGTGAGTGAGTGAGTGTGTGAGTGAGTGAGTGAGTGGGTGAGTAAGTGAGTGAGTGAGTGAGTGAGTAAGTGAGTGCGTACGTGAGTGAGTGGTTGAGTGGTTGAGTGAGTGAGTAAGTGAGTGAGTGAGTGAGTGAGTGAGTAAGTGAGTGAGTGAGTAAGTGAGTGAGTGAGTGAGTGAGTGAGTAAGTGAGTGCGTACGTGAGTGAGTGGTTGAGTGGTTGAGTGGTTGAGTGATTGAGTGAGTGTGTGAGTGAGTGAGTGAGTGAGTGAGTGAGTGAATGAGTGAGTGAGTGAGTGAGTGAGTGAGTGAGTGAGTGAGTGAGTGAGTGAGTGAGTGAGTGAGTGAGTGTCTCAAAGAGGAACTCTTAATGGCGTTACCCTGTGTCTCAAAAGTTATGAACCTTGAACCATTCCCAGGGGCAAGAGCAAAGCTCTTCCTCTTCCAGCCAACATCATTCCCTTTCCAATGGTAGACACTCTATAACCACTGTTGTAAAATAGCTTATTAAAGACAACATTGTTTAATAGAAAAAGTTTCAAGTTGCTGATGGATTAATCAAATCTAAACCTATACTAAAAATCATACCTTTTGACTAGATACCATACTTCTAGCAATGGTGTAACGTGTCCCTGTTATATCAGTGAATCTCAACTTCACCTGGCCTTTTACTTCCTTTTCTCCGGCAATCTAAAAAATTTGAGACAAAAATTTAACCAATGTTGATATGCTGAAGCTTTGCAATCACTATAGTGCAAGTGAAATAATTATTCAAAAAGGATTGGCACCAAGATGCAGCTGTTGAGCTGAAACAATGTTCAGTCAGATCAACCATTTATGATTTCATAAAGATAAAATGCAAAATCTTGACATTAAGACTTTAAAGGGGGTGATTTCAGCAATAAAAGAGCATTTTTTAAACTCCTTGAAAATACATATTTGACAAACCTAAAAAAAGGAGACTTTGATAGTGAAGAGGATGCTCACATCTATTACTAATGATATGCAAACTTGATCTAGAATGGTCTAGATTCAAGATTTGTTGAATCTTTCATATACAATGGAACCTCCATATAACGGACACCAGTGGGACCAATGTTATTGTCCGTTGTAGAGAGGTGTCCGCTTTATGGAGGTGTCATCTTTTTATAACTTTTGTTTTGGGACTCAAATATCTGTCCATTGTTTGGAGGTGTCCGTTGTATAGAGGTGTCCGTTGATGGAGGTTCCACTGTATAATTAAAGAAGCCAAAACACATAAAAGAGCATTCAGACCTGAAGTTTGGGGAAATTTAGGATTCTGTTGACAGCAGAAAAATCCCCTGTATCCTTATTTGCAAGACATGGAGAATCGTCTCATTGAAAAGTAAATGGCTGACTTATATACCAATCATTTTTTCTGGCACTTTTGGGGTGGTTTTCTTGGGGGATGGCAGCATAATATTGTGCAGCATTTACATAACAACGCTGAAGAGCAAGATAATGATGCCATTAGGCCTTATGCAACCCCAGGCTATAACTGAAATGCCTCCTTTTCTTACATTTGGTTGAGAGAACTGTTAATCATTTTTTTCAGTGGTTTTCCAGACTCAGAAGACTCCAAAATCATAATTTAAACCAAATCACTCATTCGATCGGTGATAGGTTGTTCCTTCACGACTTTCACTCATTTTACGTTTTGCCGGTGAGTGCAGCTATTAGCTGAAAAATTAGGCTATCTTCATCGAATAAAGTTTATAATTCCGCATCTTGATAGAGTATACCTAACTTTATTTTTGAACTAATTTTGGCCACAAAATTTCACAGTTACTTGCCAGGCAGGAATCTAGCAATGAAAAGTTGGGCGGGCAACAGGGGCGAAGCCAAAAAGTCGGAGGGGTACCGTGTTGCTTTTTGCCGACAAAAAAGGTGTGTCTCACTCTCTTTGGGTGTGGCCATAAGATAATAGTTTTACATGCTGCTTTTATGTGTTTCTGTTTCAATATTCAGAGTTCTAAGATTTCAATTTGAAGCATTATTAGTGCCATACTTTGAAAGTTGAGCTGGACGAATTATGTACCGACGGACAAAGTATGGGGAAAGCGCCCTCCTTTAGCGACGCCCCTGGCGGGCAATGCCGAGTTCAGATCGGCTTGTGAATTGAGCGAAGCGAAGGAGCTCGCTGCTTGTTGTTTGAAGGCAATGACTTAAGTAACGCTATTGAAGAACCTTCAAAATTTTAATATCTTGCAATTGATACAGAGTTTGATATTGATTTATCATCCTGCACTGGATAAAGAAATTTTGCAATGTAATGAATTTTTTGTAGATTCTTTAAAGTCTTCCTTCACTGGCGATTAGAAACACAAACATCTGAATATGGCGGGAAGCCATAAAGAAAGGTGCAACAGAGCCAATCATATTTAAAAGATCATCAAACTGCAGCAACATCAATTCGTTCGAAATGGAGAAAGTTCGAGTCTCGTTTTGCAACTTTGCGTCTTCGTTGGGAGCATCTACGTTGCTCAGTGCCGAAACAAGCATTCGGCGCAGGCTGAAGCATAACAGCAGTTGGATCATCTCGATAAGCATTGCGTGGACCGGTGTGGACTTGTGCACAGTCGATATTGGTTTTCACCATGAATACACAAATGCCCCGACTTGTTGAGACCGACATTTTTCGACAGTGATGTAGGCAGACGCTGTTTTCTAAGTTTTTGGATGGGCACAGAGGGGCAAAAAAATTCTAATTGGGTAAGCAATGCCCCCCTCCCCGTGCCCGCCCTTGGCTTCGTGCCTGTTATTCGCTTTTTAACTCCTTTAAAATTGACAAACAAAGTTTTTTCGATACCCTGTTATAATCTTTTCCCTCTCAGAAAATTCTTTCACCTGCTTGTTCTCCATGTTCTTCCAGTAAACCGTTTTTTATATAACTTGCAAATTCTATGGGCAGTAGCAGGCCTGGCCATAAGACTTTCAACAAGGGAGCAGTAAACAGCTCTCCAAGCAATTTCCAGGTGAATTATTTGAAGGTTAATAAGAATAGAAGCAAAGGAAAATCGATTTCTAGGAGAGAAATGTTCTTTTCAAAGCAATTTAGGAGAGCAATCTGTAGCCCCCCTCCAGCATTTGAGGAGAGCCTGGAGGGGAGCAAGATCTATGGTCCTCCTCAAATGGCCGAGCCTGCAGTAGACTTCGTGTAGCTCCCTTGTTTTGCAATTTGAATGACCTGCCTTGCATAAAACTTTATGATCTTCAGCTCGGCTTCTTCCATATTTTGTGTTTTTACCATTGCTGAATTAAGGTTACGGCAAACGTTTCCTGGATGAAAATATCCATTTCTCGATTTCTTCATATTCTTATAGCTGAACTTTCAAGCACACAATGATACCACGTTTTAAACTAGCAGAAATTTTGAAAATGGAAACAACCCCATCTAAGCGAAAGTTTCAATGATTTCTTTATCAAAGTTTTTAGTTGAGGTCTGGAAATCTCTTCACCTGTTAAGGCGATTACCGTTGCTTTGCAGTTATGGTCGCTATCTCAGTTACAATCGCTTTGCACACCTGTGTATGCCTGTGCTTATTTAAACAGGCTGTTTGGTCTTTAAGCTTCAAATGACTTGACCTGGATGACACTGTGGTTTACGAGTGTACCGTTCAAATGCCATTAGTAAAATCCCGTTTTCTCCGGACTTACCATTGGTCTACAAACAGGTATGAAAAAGCTATTTTGTACCCAAGGAACAAACCGAATGCTCAAAAATTTGCACACGGCCAAGACAGATGTTCGGTAAGTAAAGTTTGTCTCAAAATTTTTGCATTTGCTCTGGTCCGTCTACAGCTGAGGGAGGGTTGAAAAATTGTTTACCAATTTTTGACAGGGTATAGTTTCAAGAGAAGGAGGAATTTGAAAAATCTGAGACATATTTTGGTAGCTTAGGATCTGCACTTTCTGCTGATATAAGTCAGATTTTGTTACATCAAATACAAGGGTACAACCGTAATTCTATCTGACAGTACAAATACTTTTCACATGAACATATGAATGTATACAAAATTGCTAAATAACTGATAGCTGAGCATCATTCTAAATGGTATAAACTTGAAGAAAAAGAAGAGGCAAGATAAAAACAAACATGCATTACAAAGAGGTTGACTTTACAACTTTTATTTGGGAGTTAAAAGATTCGAATTTGCAGATACAAAGAAAAATTACCTTTGGGTCATGTATAAAAGCAGAGTTCTTACATCCAGGTGGCATGTCACCAGTGGTTGCATATTTAAGGCACTCTATAACTGTCTGAAAATGATGGTATTATCATGTTGACGACAAAATCATTTTCTCTTAACGTTTCCTTAATCAATAGTTCAGGATAAACATCAAGATTTCATTATAAGAATATAGAATATAACGTGAAAAGTTATGAAACTATTTAATATTTTATATGTTGAAATTTGAAATACTGAAGGACACATATATCGTAAATCCTTGAATAAGCCCCCTGGGGGCTTATTTACTTTTGATATTTTTGGATGGGGGTTTATTCGAGAGGGGGGCTTATACGAGAGGGGGCTTATAAAATTATTGTAGACATTAAGAAGACATAATTAAAAGACCTCGTTTATTTTAGTAGAAATTTCTCTATGAGCATTTAATTAATTACTGCCAAAAGTATGAAATTGTTGTGGTACTTCAATAAAACACCATAGGCGACCTCAAATGGCAAAAATCATCAAATTGAGGGGTCCAATTTGAGAATTTATGGTAGCAGTGGGGGCTTTTTCAAGGGGGGGCTTATTGACAATTTGTAGTTCTAGGGTGGGGGCTTATTCAAATGGAGGGCTTTTTCGAGGGGGGGGGGCAATTCGAGGATTTACGGTAAATAGCTCAAATGAGCTTTGCAGCTAGTCGCCCTAAAGTGCTCTTGGAAATTACAAAACTTAATGCATGAGAGTACAGAATAAGAGAAAATACATTATTTTAAGTTGAATCAAAAACAGCAACATTGGCAAAAACAAAGAATAAAATACAATATAAATTAGAAAAAGAACAAAAAAACAAGCCAAAGGGAAAATCAATTCAACTGTTTGGCTTACCGTTTTTCCACTGCCATTGGCTCCAACAAGTAAGGTTAAAGGTGCTTGGAATTCAATTATGCTGAATTCACTGGGGCTATAGCTGCGAACCCCACAGATTGCCATCTTTTCCAAAACAGCCATGATTGAACAATATTTTTTTACTAGAAAATAGAATGTGTGATGACTACATCAATTGAAGTTGTTGCATCATATTGAAACCATCCAATCGAAAATAAGAAACAAGCTTAGTGATGCGTCACACCATTTTAGCCTAACATCATGTTACATGATTTGTTTCTACAAGCCTGTTATAACATTCATTGTGAGTGTCTCCAAAAATTTTTGGTTTGATTTCAAGCCAAATCCTCATCCAGCTTTACAAAATCATTCTTTGGAACATGGAAAACTCCAAAGTTGAAAAATGCAAATTATTTCATGAAAATGAAGAGAAAACTCTTCCCAGAATGCCTTAGGACTTTGAAGGGAAGGGAGTGCTGTCTTTTTTCAAAAAAGACATCAAAATTTAAGCTATCTGTGAGCAATTGGTCCCAGGTAACTTGAAAATGAAATAAGTTTAAAATTCAAATAAAGAAATGATGCACTATTTAATCAGCCATACAGGTTAACCTTACACATTTTACTTCAACTCATAAAAAAGATTTAACATTTTGCCTGGGCCATGACTAGAAAGTGTGGCAAATTTTGTTTATGAAAAGACATTATTTCATAGCATGAGTGAGAATACAAAAGGCATCATTTTCAAAGTTGCACTTGTTAGGTGAACCAGGGTCTCTCCACAAAATCAAGTGCAAGTTTCTTGAATATAGTATCATGTACACGGTAAAAAAATGTAATATGCATTCCAATGTCAGCCTCTAAAGCTAAATTCACACTAGAAGTGGGTGTCACGGCGCGTCACACAGCATTTTTCAAGAATGGAATTCAGGCATTCATATTTACTTTGTCACTTTGTGTTTTCTTTTAAAAATACAATGACAGTGATATTGGACTTGATTTCAGCTTAGGTCTCACAAATTTGAAAATGCAAGCTAAAGCAGCAAGAAGAAACTTGGATTAGCTCTCTATACATTTATTTCATTTAACACTGCCTGGCTGGTTCTATGTTCTATCTTTATTGGGCCAGCGAAAATCTGTTTCAAATAGTCATTGCAAAGGCTTTGCGGGAAGCATTCTGTGTGACCACACTCTGCAGTTTGAGAATATTTGTACGAAATAGTGTTTCTTTAGCAATATTGGCTCAGCCACCAATTCAATAGAATGCCATTTGAGTGTTTTCAATAGCCTGGCAATGCCTCTTGTCCCGCTATTGTTTACAAAGAAAGAAAACAGCTTGTTTACAAAACTCTTCTATTGTTCTGATGAGCCATGTTGCAGATTGGATAAATCCAACTTTGGTGCATTGTGACGCATTGCCCAAAAAATGTGATGCGCACAAAATTTATCAAAAAATATTATTTTGGCAGCAGCAAAAAAAACGGGTCTAGTGTGAATTGAGCTTTAGGGTGCACTTGGGGGAAATTAAGAACATTCCGGGTACAATGGGAATTATTCTTCTCTTCAAGCACAAAGCTGGTCAGAATGATGTTACCTTGTCACTGTACTTAAAGAGCTCTTATTAAGAAACATCAGCCTTTTTGGATGCATTCAAAAACAGAAGGCATTAGCATCCAAGGTGCATCAGTGGCAAATTTCCATAAAAGCTCAATATATCCTCATTTTCTAATGTAGCGGGTCTGACGTGAAGCAGACTTTTTACTTTATTACCTCTAATAAATGCTCAATGATACTTAGTATTAAAGATTTAATGCAATGCTTAGGTGGTAGGTGTTTATCACAAAATTGAGGAAGTAAATTTGAAATGTTAATTAAATGGAAATATTCCATCGAAAAACCAGATGGTTGTGCATAAATGTATACTTGCTAAACAGATTATATGATTAAATGTTTAGACCATGAAGTTTTTCAATGGACATGATATTTTCATTTTCAGAGTTTTGTTAGGTCCAGAGAAAATTTGAAAACAACTTATAGAGGAGACGTCAACTTGGAGCTAGGCGATTATCTAAAGGAAAAATTGTATTTTGGCAAAGGCCTCTCCGCCCCCTGAGCCACCCATCTTTTTCTAAATTCTAATGACGGGACCTTGGCGAAAACTGACGAGGGCCTAAAATCTAATGATTAAGGAAAGTAAGTTGATATTGTTCAGTAAAATGTAGGGTAGATAAAATTCGTAGAATCGATCCATATTCTGATCACACTTACAGTTTATTGAATTGTGAAATCGGTTTCTTTGAAGGCAAAAAGAGTAACCCTATTATGAAGAACGCTTTCTGAAGTTTTCATGAATCGCCGCCATTTTCATGCGCATGTGCATTCGAAGAGGATAAAAAACGCGGGAAATATGTTGAGTTGAATTTGGCGTTGAAATGAAGATGCAGTTGGGTCAAATCTGTCGCTTGACCCCCGGGGGACTTGGGGATATTGGGTCAACAAACTTTTCCTACAAAAAAGCAAATTGAGAAACACCAAGGTGCCTTTTCTTAAACTGATAGATAATTTTACCGACAAACTAAAGATCTTGTGTGTGGACCAACTGAAAATTTAACGACCAATCCACGAAGTATTTGAGGGGGCGTGACACCCCCTTACACACCCCAATCGATAACTACGACCCTGAACAGGACAGAATCCTATGCTCTATTCTGTGGTTGAGTCTTGGCTATTTGGCAGTGGTGGCAGTGGTGTTCTTCTGTGAAACAAAAATTAGCATGTAATCGTTCCGTCCCCTTCTAATAAACAGCTAATTTTTTGTTCCCAAATTTGGAACGCTAGCATAACAGTGTCACCCAACGAATTTGCAATGAATAACACCTTTTCACCACAATATGCACCAACCCCTAATGACCAAAATTTAGAGAAGTAAGCTAATTCTTTGAGATGATTCGGCACTTTTATTAACATGGATAAATAGCAAGACGAGGAGCAGGGGGGCTGGAGGGGCTTTTTGCAGAAAATGAAAACCAGGAAAGCCTCGTTTTATACGGTTTTATCCCCCCTACTTTTTTAGACCCCCACATATCTGATTGATTGAGCCTGGTTGCATGGTGGAACCATGTTCACGTCTTCATAAACTCTGCCCGGATAAACTTTAAACTTCAGCACCAAAAAAGCTGGCAGGGTAATCCAAACAACTGCTGGTAGAAAAGTCTAAAGAAACTGTTTTTTTAGAAAGAAAATTAATGTGTCACAGACCAAACTGTGTGCAGCTGAAGCAAAGAAAGAGGAGTTGTCTTGATTGTCAAATTGCTCTCGCATTTCTGGTCAAGCTTTTTTTTCTCGCTCTTAACACAATAATTCTCAAGCCTTTTAACGTTGTTCATTGCTACGATAAAAAGCTACACGCTAAACAATCCTAAACAAGCAGTGTAATTTGCATTTTTTGTGGAACACATTTTAAGGATCATACTGAATATTGGTTTTTATGAATTGCCACGAAATGTTCCTTTTTCTTATAATTCGTTTGCAAAAATTGTTAGTTTGAAGCAGCATATTTCTTGTTCAAAAGTCATTTGATGGAAATTTATTGAGAAGAATATACAGGCTTTCGAATGGCCTTTGTGTTGCTTACATTGCAGGCGGACCCAAAGTCTTGCCTGTCCGCCATACCATTACATTGTCATTCGCGTAAAGTCGTTGCGTCTCACGGTCTCAGCCCAATGCAAAAACGCAAGAGAGATCTTGGTCGCGAGCCGGATAAAATAGAGATGCCCAGTGAATCTACCGGACTACATTTCTCTATTTTACCTTTGAGAGCCGACCAGCTCGAGGGGCAATTCACTCTTGCAAACAGCGTACGAGATTTTACATAAAACAAAAGAATTTCTGGGGATTTTCAGATAAAACAACAGGATTTTCACTAAAGGTGTACGAGATTTTCTTGGAGTGATTTGCCCCTCGGACCAGCTTCTCCATTTCATCCTGAGAGCTTAAGTTTCAACTATTAGTCAACATAAAACTTAATTATTCGGTAATTGAGTGTTGACAATAGGATCAAATAACGGATAATACGATTTCTCTATTTTACCTCTGACGAGATAACTTTATATATTTACGCTCTTCTCTATTTTACCTGGCTCGCGACCAATATGGGTGCACCGAAACGCATGCCCATGCATATGACACTGGGACGTTTCGCTACCCGGTGAGGTGGGAGATAGTTGGCTAGGAAAAATGTTGCTTGAAATAATGAAAGAGTGTGGTGATTTAATATCAATCAGCGCGCGCACGCAATCCATTCATGAATTATTTATCCTCACAGGTGCTCTTGATTACGGATGGTGCTGTGGCTCGCAACAGCCGTATCCATCGTATTATCACGCTCTTTCACAGGCACGAACATTCAGGCTTTGCACGCAGAACTTCGTGGATTTGATCTGGTAACTGCAAGAACAGCACGGTGAGAACTTAAATATATCCCAGCTTGTTTAAAAAAGGTTTAATTGTAGCTGTAGCACAATAAATATATATAAACACTCTTCTTTATAAGAACCTTGTAAATCTTGAGAAATCTTGTAAATTTAGGTTGAGGCTGACTGCTCTTAATTTTTTCCAAAATCTGAGGCTGGATTGTTCATAGGGTGTAAGCAGTGCGAGAGCTAGCTTTTTTACTATAGGGAGTTGTTCAAGCCTTGTTTGCTAACAAAATCTAGTTTTTGAGATAAAACGTTGTTCAAAATTTCATTTTGCAGAAGCTCAGCCTCAACTTGTTCTTAATTTGTTCTTAACTTTTGACCAATTTTGAAGCTCGTGTTCTTATAAAATTGTTCTTATAAAAAGAGTGTAATTTGGCATTAAAACATTGAGCCTCGAATTAAAACATATTTTCCACCCAAATAAAGAGCGAAGTAAACTATTGAAAGGTATATGGAATGAAAATAGAGGTATTTGTGAGACATGCGTATGCTGAAACAGGGTCGTCGGTACAAATTCATATTTGGGAGGGAACTGCCCATTGTATTGCTTCCAATTCAGTACACCGTTATAAAGGAAATATAGTATAGTTTGAAAATTATTGGAGGAGCCCCCAGCCCCCCACTTCCGGTGGCCTTGTGACATGTTGAAAGGTTTGGCAAATGATTTTTTCTAATTCTCTTTCCAGAAATACGACTTTGATTTTTTGTTATATTTTTTGAAATTCTAGCAGTGCTCTTTTCAATCAGAAATACAAGATGCCAAGTGGCTTTGCTATGTATGTGCTGGAACATGTATTCAAGAATGTCTTCAAATGATAATCTAGTTCCGGCTTCTCCTCGAATACCGACGATCATATTTTTACTCTTAAACTCTACTTTTTTGACTTTATGTCCAAAGAATGCATTTTTGCAAAAGAACTAGTCAATTCCAGCAGCCACTGTCTTGATATAAATTAAATTTCTGCTTTGTGTTTTTCATCCATTTTATTCTTTATAATATGAGTCAACTTCCACCATTTAATTTTGTATAATACGACAGGTATCATATTTCCTTTAAACTTTCTTTAACATAACAAACGACGACTATCACTTGCCAATATATTCTTCTTTCCAGTTATTTAAATGCAGAGTAGAGCAATACAGGATCCATAGAAAGTAGACATTCATTCCTAACGCTGCAAATTACAAAGTGAAAATTCAATAATTCACAACCTGAAAAAAACTGCAGTCATTGGTTTACAAGCATAAACGTTCTGTAGTTATGTCTTATCTTATTCGTTTTATGTGAATAGTGGTGCTATCGTTAGAATTTTTATTCTTTGCACGACCGAGGAACCATACTTGGTATTCCAGTGGCGTGGTGGCAGGGGGGGCAGGGGGGCTATGGCCCCCCTGAATAGGGGCGCAAATGGAAATAAGGGGACGCCAAAATTGTTTGATTGTAACATTTCGCTAGGAACATCAAAATTGATCGTACACGGGTAGAACACTTTGTTGTAACTGGCTGTGAACAATTTTATAAAACATGCGATTCTACAATCGAAGCACGTTGCGCTGCCATGACCCAATCAAAAATTGTGTCATATGTTTTCGTGTTCTCAAGATTTTACGTATGCCAAAAATGTTTCTATTAGTTTGCACTCGGAACTCCAAAAAGCCTGAGTGTACGCTAAAGATCTTCGGACCCAAGTACATGAAATGCACCCTGGCAATCAATATAGCAGCTTCTTGTTATTAACATCGATGTGACCATCACCCTTTCTTTCTTTATCCAGCGCATGAATCCTCCCGTCCCAAATTTTTTCTAAAAATCAAAAATCAATGTTTTTCTGAGCATCACCGAACTGTCTATTCTGAGCGGTGTAGTAATTTGTTAAATTTTAGTCTGGGAGATTCATTTATAGCCATTCTAGAAGGCTTGATTTCAAAAATTTTCTTGCGCGTCGGACCCAACCATGGTGGGTCCTCCTTGGTCACTAAACCTGATTCTTAGCCCAACGCCAGATTCAATTTTGTGCCGCCGCCTCTGTCCGATTCAATAGTGCGATCCAAGGTTTTTGAAAGAACTACTATTTAATAACTACTAAAGAATAAAAAACTTGACTCCATGTTTATATATTATACATCATGAATACGATGACACTAGGCTGGTAAAATCGCCCATAAGCAGTGGCGAAATGGACCAAGTTTACCTTTAGTTAATAAACTAAGGAGTCCGAAACAAAAATTTGCTCTATGTTATTTTTCTCTGAAGCTGGTATTCTGGATATTATGAACGAATTCAAGGGGCCGCCAGCCTGTATAAAACATCAGTGGAATTGAATAGAATGTCTCTTGATTAGTATTTTATGTTTTGCCTACCGTATTTTCTCGAAAAAGCAGACCCTCGAAAATAAGCCAATTCAAAATAGCTTGATATTTTACCGAACCACGATCGAGAAGGTCAAACGTTAGGATAACATAACTTTTCCATTCATATTCGCATTCTTAGTCAAAACCTATTTATGAAATTTTGGATTCAAGTTGCAAAAATCGATTTCACTTCTAGAAACACATGCTTTTATATAACCACGATATATAGATAGGGCGCAAAAATTTACTTGGCCACCCCAGGGAAAACATAACCACCCCGCCACTGCTTGGTACACTCTTTTTTTATAAGAACCAGCAAAATTAAGTTCAGGCTGACTGGTCTTAATTTTTTCGAAAAACTGAGGCTGGATTGTTCTTAATTTGTTCTTAAATTATTAGGGTGTGATCAATGCGATTACTAGCTTTATCGCTCAAGGTACTTGTTCAGGTCTCATTCGCCAACAAAGTGAGTGAGACAATCTTCAATTGACGCCAAGTTTGAACATTCTTCGAGAAAGCACCTAAACATGGCTAAATATTCTCGTTATTGAGACAACACGTTCTTCAAAATTGCAA